GTCCACCACCCAAATCCCCATCCTCCTCACTCACTGTCGCTGTTTTTGGGGCCCATCACAAATCCCCCTCCCATTTTCTTCCCATTCCATCAATCTCACAAACTTCAATCATTTCTCTTTCGAAAGTCACCATTTCCAGCATTCTCCTTGGTCTTTTCTATCTTTTTATTTGTCGTCTTTCGTTTCTATTTATTTCCTTTGAATTTTGCACCGTCAATCGCCCGGTGAAACGCAAAGCATTCTTCTATTCATTCCTGGAAACTTCCCGCAGCTCCAGCAACCAACGCCGAACCAATTCAAACCGAAGAAAGGAGAGGAAACTTGTTTCGGCACAGAGAATAGGATATACTTGTTGAGGTTGGCAGATGATTCTCTTTTAAACACAACCATCATATCATTCACCAGCTTATCATACAATGCTACAATAGGATCACAAAAAAAAACAGGCGTCAACAAGATTTCACGGTAAAAGTGTTTTCTGCCTGGGACGCGAGATCAAGAAGATCGATTCCACTTCCACCAAATATCTGGCCGCCGGCGACCTCCCTACCTCCTTCTTCGATTCAGAAATCAGAAACCCGTTCATCACCTCGTAAACTTAAGAAAAGCTCAACCGTTAATTCGACTTGACTCTTCATCCTTCAAACAAGCAACCCTCATAATAATTGTTCATTTGTCTAGCAACTACATCAAGACTTCTACTTTTCATTGAAGGTTCGTTGACGCCAATTCACTCAATCTCCCTTGAAGAACGCGCTTGTAACCTTCAAACTAAAAAGCTTTGTATCTCCACTTCATATCGGATTGGAGATTATTATGATTTGCTAACATTCTATTCATCATAGTCCTTTCCAAACTCTACTCACCTGAAAGTTATATTGAGTACGATTCTTTTTTTGTAGATGGCATCATAGCTGTTTGCTTCACAACAACCTCGAATTTAGTCAAGTAACAGCATGGCAGCTCTCGTTCAGACGTTACCACAACAGACAACTACGGTCACTATGCTTCAAACTCGACCATCCTCTGCCTCTGGCACTCTACAACCTTCGCAAAATCAAGCTTCATATCATCAATATCCCGCTAACCCTCAACAACGAAACAACTTTCATGGCTTGAACAACAACAATATGGCGATATCAAATTACCGCGGTCATAGTTCGATGGCCCCAATTGCACCATATGCATTCACTAGTTCACCCGGTCTATCGATAGGAGGTCAACAAACACCAAATGGGTCTCAATCACGGCCAGAACAACAGAGAACAGCATCGGCCCCCATAGTCCCTACCTTGCAAGGAGGCTCGACGAATGCTCCAAATCGCTCAAGATATCCTGCTGCGTTGTCTGTATCAACTACATCTTCATCCTCATCATCAGAACTTTCTCAAAGATCAGGAACAAGAGACGATTCAGCCATCACCTCCACCGCTCGAATTGCAACAAGAACTCCCCGCCCACATTCCACCATCATCACGTCGTACAACCAAAGTCTAGCTCCTCCTATGGCGTCTCCAGCAAAACCCGCCCCTGATCGCTATCGCCGCCCTGCAATTCGCCGTGCCGACTCGTCAAACAGTAGTCAGGCTGGTGTTTCCAGTTCTTCAGTCTCAACGATGCCAAATGTCATGCAATTTTATGGTGCCAGTACACAAGCTGTCAACAGTCCAACTTTCAACTTGCAGATGCCACAACAAAGCCAACCAAGTGCAACTGCTGATGATATGCAGTTGAATCAGCGTACTACCTCGGAACAGGCAAAGAGATATCGACGTCGAAGCATACATACAATCGACGCTCACGATAACATTAGCGCTAGTCCCAGCCCTGGAATTTTACAGCAGGGGTCAAGGCCAGTTCACGGCACTAGTGGTCGTATTGATCAGCCGCCTGAGCAACACGGGCAACACCCCTTGCGAAGTTCACCAGTTGTTACGGTACGCCCAGCAACTTCTCACGGACGGAATGATAGTACCGATAGCATGAAGTCTACTCGTAGCGGTCACTCACGCCCGAACTCGGTAAGTTTTCAAGTTGTTTTTTGTATCAAGTCCTCACTCCCCCCACTCATGGTTCACGGGATTTTATCGTGCATACGGCGTCACCGCAATTTAACCCACACCAATCATATTGATGTAGCACTAAAATCGGCAGCACACTAACTTATTTCAGTCGGACAAGCGAGAAGCAACAAGTGTATCAATGGCAACTGGAGGCCCCGCTCATTCTTCGACTTCTTCCGTCGCAAATTCAAATGCCTTCAATGGTAAAGATCAAGCTATTTCCAAGAATGATCAGCCACGACTTGTGAACATTCCAGTTCGTGCATCCTCGACCGATGCCGCGAAAAGACTTTCTAGCCCATCTCCTTTATCGAAGCCGGCGAGGATGGGTGCCGATTCGTCGGTGTCTAAGTCCAAGGACTCATTTGCTTCAGCCGTCAATGCAGCTTTACAACCAACCCAATCCAAATCTACATATGCACAGCCTGCAACGAGTCCAAATGCTATCAGCCCAGCTGCACAGCAATTGGCTGCATTGAACGATAAGGAAGGAAAAAAGAGTAAGACATCAAGATTGAGGAGGGCATTCTCTTTTGGCTCTGCTGCTGAGTTAAGAAAGGCATCTGCCGAAAACCATCTCGTGAGCAGGAGTGGCAATGATGCTTTGGATCGTTCCAAGTTACGAAGGGAGAAATATCAAAATGAACAAGAGGCAGAGCAAGATAAGATTGCTCAGCAACAAGAAGCTGCTGGCATCGGATCGAATATTTACTCCGGACAAGGCAATTTCTTCACTGGTTCGACCGATAACTTATCCATTTCATCGACTGCTTCTTCGGCCTCTGTAATGATACGAAAGATGGGCAAGGGAATGAAGAAGTCGACAAGATCTCTCGTTGGCCTCTTTAGACCAAAGTCTGTCATTGGTGTACCTGCAGCTGATGCAGCTGTGCCCGAAGCTAGTCAGGCACAGGTCTCGATGGTTAACGTTGAGGCAGAAAGAGAGAAGGTCAATGTGAACGCCAATGCGGCCGATGCTGTTTCTGGTGGAACAGGATTTCCCCGACTAGATAGAAATTCTCTCGATGCTGCAGCTCTCAGTTCAGCAGCGTCCACAGACCGTCTAGGCAGTGCTAATACTGAGAACTCTGCAAATAGAAGAAGCATTGTTGGTGGTGAGAAGGAGCGTGCTGAAGTCTTGGCCGCTGTCAAGAAGGGAATTCTCAAACGTAGGTTGCTAATGACCAAAGTCCCGAATGACATACTAATGGTGTGGATATTAGGCTCTGGTACCGGTTCTGGTAATTCGTCACCGGTAATCCTTCCAGTAGATGGAAAAGCAGCAAACTTCAACTTACCACAGATCCCAAATGTCAACAATGATTCGCCGAATTCGTCTGCCCCCAGTACACCAAATGATGACCAAGTGCATAAGCAAGCGGTCACTTTGGGAGGAGAGGATTACTTTATGTCTGCGCTCAAATTTAGGGGAGGAGATTCAAAGAGTGTTCCTGGAACACCTTCAGGTACCATCAAAAGAAATGCTACTTTCAGTCCTCGGATACAATTTCACGATACTTGGCCAAGCCAAGAGTACGACCGCAGGGGTGAAATTGCAACCTGCAATCGACTTACTCCAATGCTCGCCCAACAAATCAAGGAAGAGCTTAATACTTTCAAAATGGTACGTCATTTACCATTTCGTCTTTTGAACATACACTAATCAAAAACAGGAAATGGAGGTTCATGAGAATTCTAAGATCTATACACACTTCTTCTAATGAAACCACGATTATTCTATTTGTTCAAAACAAGTTACGAGACTTACAAAGCTCTTCTGCTACTGCAGGCAACTGTGTAGTTACGCACTACACTCAAGACTTTTAGGGCGTTAAAACGGTCTTTCGCATTATTGGTGTACAGGAGTTCATTCACATCTGAGCGATTTGATCGAAAACAATATTATTTCATAGACTGGTGTTGGCCATCTCTTTTCGAGCATAAATGTTGAAGAAGATGAGGGAGGATATATTAGGGGTACTAAGGGGGGCGACGGTAGAAGTTTGGGAAATGAAAGATGTTGTGCTGTGAAGCTTTCCGAAGATGTGAAAGAAAGAGAAGAGTTTCAATTGTCCAATAGGCTGGTAATTTGTTTCTCCTAGCTATCAAGGATGACAGTACAAACTCGTACTACAAAAGTTTCGATCTCGGTTGGTTTCTGTGGGTTTGTTTGATCTCTAGGGTTTTGAGATCTGCACTTCGGGCAATGTCATGGTCTAATTTTCGTTTTCTTCATTAGTCGGTCAGGGTCTATTTTATATTCGTCATCACCTCATCGTCGTACTTCAGCGTCTGTTGTTATGTTTGAGAAAGGGGGAAAGATGGGAGAGAAATGGGGAAGGCATATTCTACGTAATCAAATGATACAATACAAGCAATCGTTGCCAGTTCAAAAAGTCTAGAACGAATCTATGAGTGAGTATGAGTGTGAAGCAGAGAAATCCAAGTTTTGTGTTCTGAATATCATAGTAGAGATTCTAGAATTCCCAATGAATCATTCTAGATCTTGAATGCACACGTCAACATAAAAGCTTGGATACAATCCTGATCCTAGAAGAATCTGCATCGATTGGATCAGATAGAAACTTGATCCGTCCGGCAGTCAAAGAATTTTCCCATGACACTTCAAGCTTTGATGTGGGTTCATCCCATGATATTCAGATGTGTAGTTTCAGGGGGGTGGCTTCCATAGAAACGAAAAATTATAGCCTTGCATGAATGTCTGCAGCCTTGTATTTATAACGTTTTTATATTTGCCCCGCTAAAACTTTTTTGCTTAAACAATTATCAAGTCAAACCTTTTCTGACAAATTTTATGTATTGATCACTGCATTCTTGATTGATCAGATATAAATAGTGGCTACTATTATAAATCGCATTCATTCGAGGCTGAGGGCTGGAACCCGCCAATTTTCATCCTTCCAAATTCGAGGAATCATGGCTGCTTCAAACGATTTGCCAGTCATTGAGACTGCCCTTCCAGATGCCATTATATCCGAGAAGGTTGCCAATGGATCTAGCAATGTAGCTAAGAAACTTCATGGTCGTGCCTTTTATGAAAGTATCGGTAGTCCTAAATTCATACTCGCGCCAATGGTCGATCAATCCGAGTTTGTAAGTTCGCGAAGCATCCGACATAACTCTCCTCTCCGTCTGAGCAGACTGTACTAATTGTAACCTTCCAGGCTTGGCGCATGCTCTCCCGTTCTTTCATGTCCCCTGAAACCAACAAATCCCTTCTGGCATACTCACCTATGTTTCATGCGCGCATGTTTTCCGAAACTCCAAAGTTCCGCGATGCGCACTTCCAACCGATGAAAAGCTCGCTGGTTTCTCAGCTGGGTTCGCCTTCGAATGCTCCAAAGGAAGAGCTATTTCTCGATGGGAATCCGGCTTTCGATAGACCTCTTTTTGTACAATTCTGCGCGAATGACGAGAAAGAGTTACTTGAGGGGGCAAAATATGTAGCGCCGTTCTGTGATGCTGTGGATTTGAATCTAGGATGTCCGCAGGGAATTGCGAGGAGAGGAAAATATGGCGCATTCTTGCAGGAGGATGAGGGATTAATTTTCAGGTTGATCAATACACTACATAAGGAATTGGATGTGCCTGTTACGGCAAAAATTAGGATACTGGATACGAGGGAAAAGACGCTGGATTATGCAAAGATGGTGATTAGTGCTGGAGCGAGTATTTTGACAGTACATGGAAGAACGAGGGAGATGAAGGGTCATAAAACTGGGCTGGCGGATTGGGATATGTTGAGATTCTTGAGGGAGAATTTACCGAAGGAGGTGGTCCTTTTCGTGAATGGAAATATTCTGGCCAGGGAAGATATTGATGAATGTTTAAAGGCGACAGGTGCGGATGGTGTAATGAGCGCGGAGGGAAATTTGTACGATCCAACGATTTTTTCGGATGCGCCAGCTCCAGGAGAGGAAGGAAGAGAGTTTTGGAGGAGTTTGGACGGTAAAATGGGGGGTTGGAGAATGGATGCTGTGTTGAGGAGATATTTGGACATAATCTATAAATATGTTTTGCAAATATCGCCACCGGAAAGAAAACCATTGTTCATATCTTCGGACCCACCAGAAGAAATGAAGGAAGAAGTAGAGAAAGAGGAAGATGAAGAGGGCCCACCGAGAAAGAAACAAAAGAGTGAAAAGAAAGAAAGGACTACGAGTCCTAGTCTGGTGGCCATGCAACCACATTGTTTTAAACTTCTCAGACCATTGGTTTCAAAACATCATGGGATTAGAGATGCATTGGCTAAAAGTAGAGCGGGAGACATAAAAGCTTTTGAAAATGTTCTTCAAATGACCGAGAAGGTTGTTAAAGAGGGAATTCTAGAATATGAGAGAACTAATGGGGAAAGTTATAGAGAGGAGGTTGAGAGAGCGGAGAAGGAAAGAGAGGAGAAAATGAAAGGGGGTGGAAGGGAAGCTAATGGGAGAGGGGGCACAAATGGTGATGGAGAGGGGAATGGGGAAGTGCAATTTGAGGAAAGTAGCTTGGAAACGGTTAGGAGATGTAAGAGGCCGTGGTGGGTGGTACAGCCGTATGTGAGACCATTGCCTATGGAGGCGTTGGCGAAGGGGAGTTTGACTTTGAGTAGGAAGGAGAGGGGTGGGAAGGAGAATGGGAAGGAGAATGGGAAGGAGAATGGGAAAGAGAATGGGAAGGAGAATGGGAAGGAGAATAGGAAGGAGAATGGGAAGGAGAATAGGAAGGAGAATGGGAAGGGAGAGGAGGAGAAGGGGGAGGAGAAGGCTGTTAATGGGGTTGGATCTGAGGAGGAAGGAAAGGTAGAAGTCTAGGTTGTGGGTAAGGGTGAGGGAGAAGGGAAGGAGGAGAAGAAAGGGGAAGCGGAAACAGTGGAAGTGGAAACAGTGGAAGTTCCAAAGAATGGATTGGTTTGTGGATAAATTTCACTTTTTTAGATTGGGTGGATGGATGAATGGATGGAGCATAGCAAGGTAGGCGCATATAGATATAGCATAGCATAGCATAGCATGATTACTTGAGTATTGGACTACACTTATTAGAGGTAGATAGAAAGATCAATCAATACATGAATAGAATAAAAAAAATATGAATAAGCAGACGAGAGAAGAGATCAAATGCTGATCTGATCTGGTTCCTGGCTCTACTTTGGATGTATATCGAATGCGGGTCTGAATGGATGGATGGATTTTGAGGAACCCGTGGTTTGATTCATAGACGGTACGTAGTACTCGGTGAATCTACAATTTCTCCACGTTTGCACTCCTCTCCCCTTTCCAATTGAAGAGATAACACCGAATGATCTCGGAGTCAGTGGTTAATATTGCAATCATGGCATGATGCAATGTTGACTACTTGAAAATCTATAATATCAGCTCGGTAAAGAAGTAAGTGAGGGAGGGATAGAGGGATAGAGGGATAGAGGGATAGAGGGATAGAGGGATAGAGGGATAGAGGGATAGAGGGATAGTGTAGAGGAGTAGGGGTATGATACTTTTGTAGATAGATATTAGATATTGAATATTTGATGTGGTGATTGTTGTTAAGGGGATTTTATATTTGGCTTGGTTGGGCTGCTTGGTGTTTGTGTTGATATTTGGGTATGGATGGGGATGGGGATGGGGATGTTTTTGGAGTGAGAGAGGGGGGATGAGAGAGGGGGGATGAGAGAGGGGGGATGAGAGAGGGGGGATGAGAGAGGGGGGATGAGAGAGGGGGATGAGAGAGGGGGGATGAGAGAGGGGGGATGAGAGAGGGGGATGAGGAGAGGGGGATGAGAGAGGGGGATGAGAGAGGGGGGATGAGAGAGGGGGGATGAGAGGGAATGAGAGAAGGGAGATTGGAGACTATGGATTGTGTTGCTGTGGAATGTAGGATTTGAGTGTTGGATCTAGGGTCAGGAGATGAGAAGGAGAGCGAGTTGGGGTTGGAAGGAGTGAATTGAAAGAGGTCGATTGGGAGTATGGAGACGTGATGGGCATGAGTAAGGATATAAGGGTTGAAGCTACATTGGTTAGGAGAGGTAGTGGCAACAGATAGGATAGGAGATTTTAGAAAGGTTTGAGATACACACATGATTAGATACTCAATATGGATATGATGGATGGGAGATGCAGGAGAAGGTGAGATGGGAATGAATTGGCAAATGGATGGATGCTAGGGAAATGAATGGGAGTTGGGAGATTGAGTTGATGCTATTTGAAGATTTAGACCCATTATGAGATTCTGGTGAAATTCTAGGAGAATCAAGGTGTTTAGGAAACTGGAATCGGGGATGGAGACACGATTTAATGGTCAACTCATAGTGGATGATATGACTTTATTTGATCTGACAAATTTTAGATCACATAAAATAGTTTATCAGTGGGTCGGCTATATCAATAAATCAGTTACTTTTATCTCGAATTATTATTTTATATTCAATATGTGTTTTCTTTATAATTAATTATAAAAATTCATTCTAAAAAGGCACACATAATCTTAACTATTCAAGCTATTAAATTAAATAAAAAATTATCAATTTGAAAGACAGCTCAGCTTTATTGTATACCTTGAACTATATTGAATAATAAAATTCAAGGTAAATCTAATATAGTTGAGAGTTAATCAAAAAGTTATAATTTGATTGAATTAGAAAAAAAGATACTTATTCAATATATTCTTGATATAAATTTAAAAGGTTTTTTATTTAAACTTAAGAATATAAAAAATATAATAAATTATATTCTTAAATTGGAAAGTATAAAATATATCGAAAAGCTTTAAGTACATTAATTTATAAAGTGTTGAATTGAATTAAAGATATGTTTTAATTATATTTATAACTTTTAAAAAGCTTTCTATAAAGATTTTAAATTTATTAAAAAGTAATTTCAATTAATTGTAAATATATAAGCGAAATATAGTATTTTGAATAAAGATTTTTATAATTTTAATGAAATAAATTTTATAATAAGAATTATATATATAATAATAATTGTTATTAATATTGAAAAATATAATAGAAATAAATTTATACAGTTAGACAATCAAGAATAAGCTATAATAATAATATATGAAAATAAAGAGGGTAAAACTATTCCCCTATTTCTAATAATTTAGGGATAGATTTATCTCTCCAATTAATATATCGAAACTAATCTTTCTACAGAACAAACTATTAAATCTATATCTAATGAATGAACAAATAATAAAACAGGTTTAAAATAATTGAAACACTTTGATAAATATATTAAGAATTAAAGAAAGAGTAAATATTAAATATTAATATTGAATAGGTATAAAAGTTATAAATTAATAGCTTTTCAAGTATATTATAAAAAGAATAATATTATATATTTATATTTACTATTATATTCAAGTTATTTAATTCAATTACTTAATATTAATTATTTTAGTAATCTAGAATATTTATATAATGGTTAAATTAATAGATTTATTAAAATATATATTAACTATATTTCAAAGGTTGAATTCCTTATAGTTTTTAAAGCTATATATAAGGAATTAATTATCTTTTAGAATATAAAATTAGAATTCTGAGGAATAGGTTTAATCTCATTTAATTCTGAAATTGTATTCTTGAAATTAAATATTCGAATTTGTATATTTACTCCTTTTTTTTCTTCAATTTAGATTAATAAATCTTTTAAACCCTTTGTAATCTAATTGAAGTTCTTTTTTAATTAATATTAATTAAATCTCAAATAACTTATTATCAAGTAAGTTCCCCTATATTTATATTTGAGATTGTATTAGTTTTAGTTAAGAATATAAAAAGATTAGTTTATAAAAATATACTTTTAAATATAAAGAATTGTATATTTTGAATAATAAATAAAACATTAAGTAAATATTGATATATAAAAAAAACCTAATTATATTAAAAAGAAATGCTTATTAAATAAAAGGCTTTTGATATATTATTTTAATAAAAAATTGATATTCAAATTTAATATAATAAATATTAAAAAGAAAGAAATTTTAATAAAAAAACATTTTCTAATTAATATTATAATAAATGTGGAAAGATAGGTTATAATATAAGAATTTATTAAAATAATGTAATAGATACTAAATTATTAGATTCTTAATAATTTTAATTAATTAATTTAATTGTTGTTAAATAATATAGCTTTGAAATGATAATTCGAGGTAAAAGTGATCGATTCATTAATATGACCGACCCACTGATAAACTACGTTAACTATACCATTGTATAATCTGAACTTCTTTGAATTTTTATCTTTAGATAGAATCGGTTATATAATTTAATCTATTAATCATTCTTTAATATTATGTTATTTCTGAAGTGACATTTAACATTGGTAAGATGTGATTGACGGATATGACCTGCCAGTGCAATATGAGATGTCGGTCATTTTACCACCCCAACTGGAATAAGGTATCTGGGCAATGAATATGGAAATGAGTATAGATCCGACTTGATCTACTACATTCATCCCTCAAAGTTTACTCAACTTTCCACTCTTGTCCTTCTTCGCACTATCCCTTCTCATCCCCTCATCATCCTGCTCATCAACTCTCAGGTCCGGAAACTTCATCGGCATGATCCTCCTCGGGGTAGTCCCAGGAACCAAAGCATATTTACCAAAATCACTCACTCCATCATGTTCCCTCAAATAATCCTCATCCAAAAACAAACTCCCATTTACATCCTCCGTCTTCGCTCTCACAATCGATAAGATCGCATCAGAAAATATTCTCGGATGTCTCAAATCCTCATCCGCGGAAGAAAAGTGCGCCGTCGCTGCAGATTCAATCGCAACCGCGGGCCAGAGCCCCGTAATCGCCATATTCCGCCCCGATAATCCCATGCGGGAAAAATCCATCCCGAGACCTTGAACGAGGACACTCATTCCTATTTTCCCCATTGCGTAGGCAGTTTTGCCGCGGAAAAAACGGGAGTAGATGGGGGGACAGATGACGACGATTCGGGCGTTCCAATCTTGGGCTTTCCAGTGGGGAATGCAGGATTGGATGGTGGCATAGAGACCATTGGGGTTGATGGATTCCATCAACATGTATCGGGATAGGGGGGTGGTGAGTACGGAGGAATGATAGATAGCCCCGGAATTGTAGACGAGTACGTCGATGCGTCCGTAGGTGGAGATGGTTTGAGATATGAGAGAGGAGATGGAGGCGTGCGAGCGGACATCGCAGGGAATGGCGGTAGCGGTGAAACCGGCTTCGAGGATCTCTCGACAGACGGTGGAGATGGTTGAGGCGGATGAATTGGGATTTGGGGGAAAGGGATGGGTGGTAGAGGCGTCGCTGGTGGATTTGGCGGATACGATTACTAGGTTTGTTAGGGAGGAATTAAGGGGAGTTGGAATGTTGATTTTACCTGCATATCCGTTCTTGGCGAAATCAATGGCGAGTTGACGACCGATTCCTCGAGATGCGCCGATTACGAGAGCTACTTTTTGAGATGACATGTTGGATTTACAGTAATTATCTGTGAATTGGAAATTTTGATTGAATGGGGGTTAAGGTGTTCCATCACTTGGAGCCATACTCGTATATATTCGAGAATACATATCTCGGAACTTGAACAAAAGTTCTGGTTTAGTGATCAAAGATGATGTTTGTTTGTAGTGAAGGATGAAATCATGCATGTATGTATGTATATATATATATGTTTAGTGATCAAGAATTCCGGGGTTGAGCTTCCTGAGCCGAGGTATTTGAAAGTTGGACAAAGCTAATCATCAATTACTTGAATGTATACGAGTATTTATTAGGTATTTTAATATCTTGAGAATCACGACATTTTATAACTTTTATAGAAATTGGAATTTTCATATTTCATATTATCATGCCGGGTCATATAGATTGTTATCTCGATTGCTGTGAGTGTGAAAGAATTTCCTTGAGCTTTCCCTAAGTTATTCCTCCACATTATACTCCCGTGCTGATCAAACCCCCTATCAAAGCTTCATTCTATAGCTACGCAGCTTTAGTTCATCTTCGCAAGAATCGGGAAATTCTTCTTTCTCATGATGTTACTATTGAGTGAGTTATCTTTCATTCTTTGCTCTATAATCATTGCAGACATACTTGAGAACCAAATCTAACTCAAACCCACCTCGAAAGTCTCATTCCCGTCTTCCTCGGTGGCATAAATCACGGCTCGGGAAATAAACCGCCATGGACTCTTCCTGCAAAGGCAAAGTATAGTAAATTTGATTCCGCGAGAACGATTGAGTATCATGGATTGCCGAATTTGCAACCGTCGGAGTTTTTCCCGCCGGTCACGCTTCTGGTAGGTTTTGGATTTCTCACTTCTTACTGGATGGATGGATACATGTAAAGATTGGAGCTAATACTGGGTGTTGTGTAAAGCCTCAAAGAGCTCTTTGCTTTATCAAATCTCGCTACTCAGTTGAGGTCTTTGAAAAAACATGGTTAGAAATCTTCAATGCTTTATGGGTTCCTCCACAGAAGAACATCACGATTCCGGAAATCTTCACAGAATTCCTGAATGGATTGGGAACATTCGATGGAAAAGAAGTAGAGGAGATCATGCAAAAAGCAACAGAGAAAGAGTGGAAGGATAAACTGTTGGAGAACACGAAAGATGCGTTGGACAAAGGAGCATTTGGGGCTCCGTGGATGTGGGTAAGGAATGCGGAGGGAAAGGAAGAACCGTTTTTTGGGAGTGATAGGTTTCATTTTATGTGGAGGTTTTTGGGGGTGAGGTTTAGGGATTTGGAGATTGTGAGGGGGGAGAAGGTGGGAGGGGAGGGGAAGGCGAAGTTGTGAGGGAGATGGAGGAGAGGAGAGGCAGGCAAAGTTGTGAGGGAGATGGAGGAGAGGAAGGGGGTTAAGCTGTGGGGGATGAGGGAGAAACAGAAAATTTATATTGTATAATTGTAGGGAAACGGAGGGAGTGCAACTGATGGCTGTTTATGAGTTCTCAAGCTATGCTATTTTCTAAAGAAAGTATACATTGACTCCTCGATTCTGATACGAGGAGCAATACAAAATAAGAATGACATTAAGATTATGACTATTCAAAGAATATCATGGCATGAGGTCTAGGATATGAAGGTATTCAGACAATTACAGAACTATTTCATCCAGGATCTTAGTTTAGTAGATACAATGGTCAGGATGGTGGTAATGGTGCAGCGTCCTCAGCCCGCACTGTGATTCAGACGATCAAAATCACGTGACATCAAGACGCGAGACCTCACGTGTTTTCCCCATACTTTTCCAAAATAAGGGGTCTAAAAAGGTACCAGTCTTTAATCGAGATAAGCTTTTAAGCCGCATGGAAACTACTGTATATAAAGATCGGTAGTGAGTGTCATCATGCTTTCTCTTCTTCCCCTCAAAAAATCTTCATCTTTTTCCTTCATCAATCATGTTTTTTTTCCCACTTGATTTCATCTTCTTCCGATGATAGATATATATATATATATACAAATCTAGGATATCTCATTCTGAAGCAAGAGAGAAGTTTCCTATCACCGTATATTTTCCAAGCGTGGTTGTTGATGATTTCAGATTAAGAAGATCCAATTCTATTCCAAAGTGGTTCAAAGATGGCCCCGGGAGCCCCCAATGATTTTCTCAATTTGGTGGCTCCGGTCACTTTATTGGTGTGGCGCTTTATTAGCGTCGTTAGCTAAGCGACCACCTTGGGATCCAAACGCGCTTGGTGAGAAATCAGCTTTCCCCCAAGATGTCAACATTAACTCAAGATATCAATTCATCCATCATAATTCCATGAGATTAACTTCCATAGAAAAGTTTACTCATCATTCCTTAATCTTTTCTATATCAAATCTTCACTTCAATCAATCTTGGTGTTTGTCGTTCAACAACAATTTCCTGAACATCACTTGGAACTTTATTTACAGCAGCGCGCGAAACTATCAATGTTTTAACAAACAGTGAATTCCGTCGAATCACCATCGCTCTCAGCAATTTCTCTACGGTTCCATTCCGAAGCCGAAGCTCCATTTAAGATTGGTTCACCGCTATGCCAGCGAAGTATCGCAAATTCGAAACCTTTGACCCTAATAAATCCGACTCGAACGACGACGATTTCTCTCCTACCGAAGCTGCTCCTCCACGAAAGTCCCCAAAAAAGTCAAGGTCCCAACCGCAAAAGAAGGGAGGTCAACGAAAGAAGACCAAATATAGAGATTCAGACATTGATGACGAGGATGAAAGTGTGTCGGAAGAATCTTTTCTAGAATCGGAACAAGAAGAAGAGGCCTTTGAAATGAACGAAAAGACCGGAAGAGCTGTGCGAAAGGCTGCAAAAAAAGCCGTCACTTACGAAGAGAGTGAAAGCGATGACGATTTGATCCAGGAATCCGAGGAAGAAGTTCGTCCAAGGAAATCGAATAAGCGAACGCGCGTGGTAGATCATGGTGAGGAGGACGAAGACGAGATAGTGGAACCCATTTCGAAGCGCAATAAATCGGTAGAAAAGGCATCGGAAAAGAAGTCGTTTCTACTAAAACTCAAGATGCCAACTGGGAACACCCCCGCTCGAAATACACGGGCAGGAAGTGCTACAAGAACTAGAGCAAGCGCGGAACCTACATCGGCTGGACTTCGAAGAAGCACTCGCGCTCGTACCGAGGAAGGTGAAGACTTCCCTTCGTTATCAAATTCGGGAAGGCACGTAATTCGGGCTTCGAGATCACCTGAACCGATCGGTCGCATGAGGGCCAGTAGAGGAGCGAAAGGTCTTAAACAACCTGCGACCTCAACTATCAAAGAAGAAACACACGAGACGAGCTCATATGAAGACCCGCAACTAGATGCCGAAGGCGAAGACGAGGATATAGTAATGCAACCACAGCCTGAAATAATTGGAACTGACGATGGAGAGGACGATAATACCGAGTCATTCAATCCCCCTGCCAGTGCGCCGGCCGATGACGATATGGTGGACGAACTTGCTGTTGATGGAGCGCTGGTAGAAAAGGCAGTTACCCATGACGACGATGATGATGACGAACCAGTCACAAGAACTCGTGCAAGAGCCTCCAGGTCAAGTAATGCGGGACAGGATGCAGCAGAAGTAGTTGAAACGACCGAAGATTTAGCTGGTGGTTCTCGACGACTAAGAACTCGAGGTTCGAAGAGAAATAAGGATGATGGTAGTGACTTTACACCTGAAGGTGAAGCTTCTGAGGAAGAAATGTCTGGATCTAATGCCTCGCCGAAGAAAGGAGGAGATGATGATGGCGAGTACTCGAGCTCATCGAGACCCGGAAGGAATACAAGGCGAGCAAAGTCCAAGAGTACTTCTCGCAGACGTGGTAATATATCGGATGAAGACGATGAGCTAGACGCAGAAGAGTTGGCAGATGAACTTCAAGAACTCAGACCATCTCGAAGACGCCGCAATCGCGAACCTGAAATTGCTTACGAGCCAAAAGGCCGTCGTGAACGGAAGCAAGTGGACTACACAATCAAGCCAATGGATCAGATATATGCTCAAGATGATGATCTAGAAGAGTCAGCGCCAGCCCCTTCTGCTAGGGGTCGTGCAGTTCGTGGTGGTGCAAGTAAACCATGGGAACATAATCTACATGCAACTTATGGTCCGTTTGGAGGTGGAATTGGACCAGCTCCGCTCATTGGTGGCCCTTGGGGTAGCGGTGCTATTGGCGCCGATTCGGATGACAGTGATGACGAGAATATGCAACATCCAGCTGTTCCGGGTGTTGCAATGACCCCCACCTCTGCAAGGCATGGATTGCTCCCATTTTTGCCGCAAACAAGTCAACTCGATCAAACTCCAATTGGCGTCGGTGCACAGGTTGGAAAAGTCAAAAGCCAGAAAGCCCTCGCAGATGCAGATCCTCTTGGCGTCGATCAAGATGTTGATTTTAGCAAAGTCGGTGGACTCGAAGGGCATATTGAACAACTTAAGGAAATGGTCCAAATGCCTTTATTGTATCCAGAACTTTTCCAGAAGTTCCATGTAACACCTCCCCGTGGTGTACTATTTCACGGTCCTCCTGGTACTGGTAAAACACTTTTGGCAAGGGCTCTAGCAGCGACCGTGGGATCAGGTGGTCAAAAAGTCACATTCTATATGCGGAAAGGTGCTGATGCATTAAGTAAATGGGTTGGTGAAGCCGAGAGACAGCTTCGATTGTTATTCGAAGAGGCGAGGAGAACACAGCCAAGTATCATTTTCTTCGATGAAATCGATGGTCTCGCCCCTGTTCGATCCAGTAAGCAAGAACAGATTCATGCTTCTATTGTTTCTACGCTCTTGGCACTTATGGATGGTATGGATGGTCGAGGACAAGTTATTGTTATTGGAGCAACAAACAGACCCGATAATATTGACCCAGCCTTGAGAAGACCAGGTCGATTTGATCGAGAATTCTATTTTCCATTACCTGATATCGAGGGTCGAAAATCAATCATCAATATTCATACAAAGGATTGGGGTATTGATGATAATTTCAAGACTTCTTTAGCTCAAGTTACCAAGGGTTATGGTGGTGCTGATCTTCGTGCTCTGTGTACACAAGCTGCCCTCAATTCTATCCAACGTTCATATCCTCAAATTTATTCTTCCAACGATAAGCTGAAGGTGGACACCTCGAAAATTAAGGTAACTGCCAAGGATTTTATGATCTCAGTCAAAAAGATTGTACCATCGTCTGAGCGTTCAACTTCTTCGGGAGCCAAACCATTGCCGAAGAATGTTGAGCCTCTCCTTCGAGACCAACTCAAGTCTATCGAAGACATTGTTGATAACCTAATTCCTATCAAAAAGAAGACAACTGCCTTGGAAGAAGCAATGTATGAACAATACGAAGACGAAGATGGAGGGTTTAGTAGAGAAGAAATGGCCCAAGAGTTTGAGAAGTCACGAGTGTTTCGCCCAAGATTACTCATTGATGGTGAGCCCGGCATGGGTCAAGCATATATTGGCGGCGCTCTGTTGAATCATTTCGAGGGACTACATGTTCAGAGTTTTGACCTTCCAACTATATATCTAGATTCGACTAGGGTATGTATTCTTTCCACTGCTTTCTTTGATTCGTATGCTGACGTGAAATCAGTCCGCGGAGACAGCTATCGTTCAACTATTTGCAGAAGTGAAACGCCATAAACCAAGCGTTATCTACCTGCCAGCAATTGATACTTGGTATCGCACTCTTCCAGAAAATGTGATTACCACATTCCTTGGTCTGCTCAATGCGATCCCATCTTCGGACCCTGTGCTAGTTCTCGGTATAACAAACACTGGCTCGGATGAGCACAATCCAAATATGCTGCGTGATATATTTGGCTTCTCAAGACGCAATCGCTTCACCATCGATCGACCACAAAAAGTAAGTACCATTGTTTAGCTATTGTTTGCAAATTATTAATGAAGTCCAAAGGAGTTACGAAAAGAATTCTTCCAGACCATTATTTCGTATCTGAGCAAGACACCAAACGAATTTCCTGATCCAGCTAATCGTAAGAAGCGTAAGCTTGAACCGCTCGAGCTGGCCCCACCACCACCGCCACCAAAAGGGCCTTCCAAAGAGGATATCAAGGCACGATTAAAGGCTGATCTTCACATATTGAATCTTTTGAAGGTGCAAATTCAACCCATCATGGATCAAATTCATAGAAAGTACAGGAAGTTTCGGACGCCTGTTCTTCAAAACAGTCAGTTCCAATACCTTTTTGATGAGCAAGATCCAAACTACGTCCAACCAGATATACCTCAACTCCGACCATTTGAGTTGGCTGTTGATAAAAAAGGAAACAAATGTCTTCGTGAAACGGCGAGTGGAAAAATTTATTACAATTTAGATACAACTACGATCGAGGAACGATTAGTTAATGGTTTTTACGCTCGACCAAAGGATTTTGTATTCGATATCAAAACTCTTGTTAGAGATGCCAAAGCTATTGGTGACAAAGACCGCTTGCTTAGGGCCAAGGAAATGCTTGCCAATGTTGAAGTTGACCTTTACGCATACGAGCATGATCCTAAGTTTGCAGACTGCGAGAACTTATACCGTCGTCAGCTTCAACGAGCGAAGGAAATGGAGGCGAAATATGGAAAGAGGGCCCAAGGGATTATTGGGACAGATCTAGTGCGTTCAGATATCTTCTCGGAGGAATATGGCTTGGGATCAAATTCTGCCGGAGCAATAAACTTGAACCAAATTATTCCTGGTAGACGCCCAGGTTCTGCTGTTCCATCTTTCCAAGCATTCAACCCCGATATCACTCAAGGAAGCAGTGAGCAGAATGCTGTCATCCAACGATCTTTCATCAACGGATCTTCTGTGCCATCTCGAGCAAGTGGCGAAGATTCTTTGATGAGTGGGACAAACGACAATGCCTCGGATTATTCTCAGAGTTCTCCTGCTCTACCGCGTCAGCAATGGCCACCGAAATCAGCAATAGCACCATCGAGCATTTCGAACGTTGCTACTGGATTCAATTCTCAGCGATCTGCATGGCAAGAAATCTCACATGACACGTCTATCGGTGCATTGGTGAACAATGCTTCTCCAACAAGTTCTGGAAAGAAAACATCAGAGGCAACGACTTCAAAGAGAACCTCGGCAAACTGGAGTACACAGGCTACAAACGGGACTCGCCCTGGTGCCTCAAGTCCGATAGATGGGCAGAGACACGATGCTGATCTTTTGGACACACAGAGGTACTCGCAGAATGCAAGCACACAAAACACAAATGTAGCCGAGGGAGAAAGAAGTAGCAACGAGGAATGGCTTCACTCACAAGCACATGCCCTTGCGCGTGGTCATCTTGGATTTCCTTCTCAGACGCCAAGTACACGCAATTCACAAGATAAACCGCCTGTGCCACCCTTCAATGCTCCTTCACGAACTTCTCAAGATAACGGTGTGACCGATGATTCGCTCGTTGAAGCCAGTTCTACGCAATCATCTTCTCAAAAGACATATATCTTTAATGAATTTCTTGCGAATGAATTACTGGACAAACTCACCGATGGATCAAGTGGTTGTTCAATTGAACAATTGGAACAGATATATCGTGAATTAATGGACTATATATGGAAGATGAGAGGGGAGTGGAACAGAAGTACAATATGTGTCGGATTGACCAGAGTATTCAATGACACAATATTGGATATCGAGGCGATGCAAAAGGTTGGCAAACCAAGTCAAGAAGACCCGGATTCGCCTCGTTCAACTCAATAGGAGACGTATGCCGGACAATAACAATGAGGGATGGGTTGGAATATTGAGAGGCTGGATGCATTGAAAATTAAGCATGGCGTTTGATAGGTCTTTTTATTATTACAGGTTGCTTGAGCAAACAATTGATAGCATAAGGGGATGTATTTTGTTGTATAAGCTATCCCAAAGAATGTGAGGGCTAAAGCTTGTGTGTTTGTCTGTGTATTACTCCGGTATGATAGATGATTATGTTTACGGTAATTGTTGTTTGGTATATCATATACGATCTTGTTCTGTATTCGTGATTAGGAGAATATAATGAAAGCCTTCCCTCTGCATGTCATTTATTTTTTTATCTATCCATCAAGGGGAATTCACTTTTTATCGGTCAAGTGTGCGTACTTCAAAGCAAGGCGGGTCTATTGGTAAGATAGATATACCTATCTGTTGTAATAACAAACAAGAGTAAGGAAGGGAAAGTGGGATTGGCCTCGGGTAGATAGTTGAAAAACGTTTATGGCGGGGATATTAGGGGTGGTTATTAGGTGGGTATCAGAGGTTGGTATGATAGGTATTAGGGAGGTAGGTATGAATGGATGAGAAATTGGGGACGGGATGGGATGAGTGGAGATTATGAGCGAATCATGGGGGGAGAATGTGAGTGGATCATGCGGATTGTGTGTTTAGTACTGGTAGATGCGATGTATTGTGTAGATGAGATGGGGTGTTTTTGTATTGTCGTCTCTTCGCCTCTTCGCCTCTTCGCTCTTCAATTTTAGTGGGACGGGGAGGTAGAATAGGGTGATGTTAAGTGGTTGGGGAGAGGTTAAGTAGTTGGGAGAGATATACTATTAAGCTGGGCTCATTGTCAAGGTTCGAGGGCCTTTTTGGGATTCAGAAACCCTCTTACATACCAGCTATGAGCGAAAGTGAAATTCTTGGTTCGAAGCCGTGGTGGTAGTCATCGTTGCATGCATGTACAGAATTCAGGTATTTCGAAGATGCTGCAACTTCATTTGGAATGAATCTTGATTCTCTATTTGGTATAAACTAATTTGGTCTTGATCTTATTTGGCACAAATTAATGTGGTACAACGCTTGCCGTCTGTATGTTGGCTACGATGAATGGTTTGGTTTCCAGGAACTGGGGACTATCCATCTAAACAAAAGAAAAAACACACTAGGAATGTACCGAGCAATTTCTACCACCTGAGAGATATCGTCAGCGCCGAATCAGAGTCTTCTGTGTTCTATCGACTTATTCTTCAAAGCCTTCATTGCGTAATTAGTCGGGCTCGACTGAAGCACTTAGCTTTCTCGCGTGCAACAGTTTCCCAAACTATTTCCCTCATTGCCTTCGATCGTTCACAGCTTGCTTGACAAAGATTAAAAGGTTTTCGTATCGTTTGGCCGATAGGAATAAGTTTGTGCTTGCCAACAGACCCTTGTATTTATCGAAAAACTTTGCGAAGAGGACATTGAAAGCTTCATCATTCTCGGGGCTGTGGCTGTGCTCCGTGTTGAAGTAACAACGATACATGGTACTATGTAAGTTGAGAACTTCAAGAAGTACTCGGTCGGGGCCAGATTTCATGGCAAGTGAGACAATCTTCCCCCATTGGTGTGGGGTGACGCGATACGAATTGGTGAAATCAATGTAGCGCTCACCTCCAATGTTCCAACCAGCACGATTAGGATCAACCATGAAAAGGGCAAAATCTGTTGCAATATCTCCTAGATGACACGCATGATTGCGAGCGTCAATCACCTTTCTGTCGGCTGGAGGGCGGCCTTTAATTTCATGGAATCCGTCTTCGTCGCGGTGACAGCATGCAGAATTGTGGTATCCGCGATTCCGTCGCGGACACGAGAACAAGAGTGCGCGACCACTTTGTAGTGTACAATCTTTTTTTCGACTTCTTTCAACTCTTCTTTGAGAGTGGTATTATCTTGCCGAACCTCGTAATGGAGGAACTGCCACCTAGCAATGGTTGTTTTGTCTTGCTTCTTTTCAGCTTCAAGTTTGGCGAGGGTGTTTTTCGATTCTCCAAGCTTATTCTGGAGAGAGTGGTTGTCTTCAAGGAGTTGCGAAATGGCGACTTTGTCATCCGAGCTCTCGGTAGGTTGGCTAAGAGAGGATGGATCTGCAGTGATGGTGATCCCTAGAGCGGATGAAATTTCAAGTTTATTTTCCTTATCGAAGTCAGTTTTGGACTCATCATGAATATTGTATAGTCAATTCTTACTTCTAAACGCTTCTTCAAGTGTTTCTTCTGGACAGCAACACCATCTCTTTCAGTTATGATAAATCATCGATCGTGCTCAGCGACATCTGATGCAGAAACCTTCTTCAGTTCCTCGAGTGGCAAGGTGAGACCAAACTTGGCGTTTGCTTCTCGAATTTTACGATTGGAATTGTCGTTGATTTCCTATGAAATATATCAGTAAAAAAATAGACGTGCCAATTTGAAGAGGTCGGTGGATTTTCCACTCACAGAGAACATGGACTCTAGATGGTGAATGAAAGATTTCCTCTGCTGGAGAAGCTTGCTCTGAATGGCTTGCTCAAAATCATCCCCACAAACATTGTCATACTCGTGCTGAAGCCTCTGAAACTCCTCAGCGAGATTTATGACAGAAGGGGGATCTGTGCCCTGTGGCTTGATCACTGCAAGAGCATTAGGAGTCGTGTCTCCCATCATCGGAGAATGACACCCTGATCTAGGGAATTGAGGATCTTAGGGAATTTAAAAGTAAGCAAAGTTGTTGAAAGAGGAAAGGAAAGTTCGCTTTGCTTATAAAGTCGCGTGTGGGATATAGTTTTGAGAAAATGCTAAGCGAGAATTCCATCTGGGACTACCTACCTATCCATACTATTGTGTCCAAATATGAGGCGCTCACCCTTTGAGCTTGAGGCCAAGGCTGAAAATTTCATTCCTTTGAATACTAGCTGGACTCCTGTGGTAAGTGTGTAGTGCTCTTGTTATGATGTTGCTTAGTGAATATACATCTTCGTTTGATTGTTAGCAGCGGGGTCATTTACATGTGGAGAACATTTCACAATTTCACTTGGTTCAACAGCCTTGCAGTCTCACCTTCAAGTAGCCAAATCAGTTGAAGAGGAGTCACCTATCACCACAATTGAAATATTCACGTGTCTAGAAATATGTGCATTATAGTCAAGTGTTATTTTTATTCTGATATATGCAGACTGTTGAATCAGGGTTCAGGGACCCAGCCAGAACCCGAATGCTCAGAACCCGAATGCTCAGAACCTGATTCCTCAAAAACCGATTGCTCAGGTGCCAGTCTCAATTTTGCTTCACTCTGCATTCGCTTGATATCCTGTACAATCTCCAGCATTTCATTAAATGTTTGAATTTGGTCCTCACCATCCTGCGAGTCAAAAATGCGACCTTTCTCCCTCGCGTTAGGTGCCTCAATCGTATCGAATTGAAGAAAACCCTGTGTAAACAGATTTTGAAACAAAGAATCCCTAGTCTCGGAGAGTGTCTTCTCTGTAAAAGAACCAGATTCCGCAAGCATAGCATGCATGTTGAACATCTCATCGAGTCTGTCAGATACTTTGTACAAGTGACGATATTCACCCACAGAAACGCCATACATGTTGAGAAACATTTCGTGGCTGGTGACGGGACCGCTCACAATTTCCTTCTCGGCTAGAAGAATAGAAGCGAGATGTGCATCAATATGACCTCCAGTGGTGGCATAATTTCCATTGTGTACAAGAATTTCGTTGAATGGAAGATGACTGTCGCCAAGTGATGAGAACTCGCCATTGCGTTTGATTCTCTTCATATTCTCTGCATTTCGCGCCAAGATAGGAAGACCAACCTCTTCCGCTATAACACACAGACGGCTTTTATCTTCTTCTAACTTTGCTAGATCGTGTACCAATTGTTCGTGTACTTCATTGGCGTCTTCTAAAGCGTTCTTGTACTCTTGGAGAGAGTCATCACTATAGGAAATTTCAGAAGCTAGTCTTTCAATCGTGGCTTGGGTTTCGAGTTTAAAGCGATCGAAATTTCCCTCCCATTATTGAACTTTTCGCTCAGTAGTCTCGATTTGGAGTCTGAGGAATCTGTTCTCTTCAATTGTTGCCCTATGACTGTCTTCCTCTGTCTGATTGTCTTCACCATATATACTGCCCAGGACGTTGGATGATTCTTCTCTGCTGAGTGTTGTTCCATGACTGTTTTCTACTGTCCGATTATCTTCACTAAAAGTACGACTAGGAAAATTGGAGGATCCTTCTCCGTTGATTGTAGCCCAAGAGCCAACTCGATTTTGTGGAGGATTCTCGACGAAAGGATCATCAAGTAGAGTTTCTGCTACAAATGAGACCTGATCGTTATCCATGGAGATGGGAGAAGGAGGTGCAAGTGGTACGTGGCCTTCCACACTGTCATCGCGCAATATTTCGAGTTTCTGATTTCGAATATCCTCTTTTGTTGATAAAAGCACAGCTTTGGTATCCTGAGCAATAGAACGCTTGGTTCTAATATATCTCTCCTTGCGCATTTCTAGATTTCTGTCTCGGCTAGCTTGGTCAGGATGTCCGATTGATTCGTCTACCTTTCCCACGGCGTCAAACCAAATTTCAGCTCTCGAAATGACTTTATTGTCCCGGAGATTGAAGATTTCTCGATCAATAGCAGCTTCTCTGGCGATTAGCTTCTCGAGAATAGCTTCCTGTGTATCGGGAACAGCAGAGAATCCTTGAATGCCCCCCTCGATAATTTGATTCAATTCTTTCAGGTCATCTTGGTCATGTTTGATGGTGTCATGAAGCTCCTGGATTTGTGTGTGTAGTTCTTCGACTTCGTTCTTCATTCTGGACTCGGATGATTTGTGGTTCTCAAGCTCAGACTTGGCTTGCTCATGCTGGTTTATCAAAACGGATATGGCTTTCTTGGATTCATTGGTTACGTAGGAACTGGAGCTTCCGGTAGTGGGCTTAGCGCGGTTAAAGTTTTGACTAAGGAGGGCGAGTGGTCGCTAGATTGAAAAAAAAAAGTTACGATTGGTAGATTGGGAATTTGTGATCTTGTGGTGAGGTTGAGAAAGTACTTACTCTGATATCCTCTTGAATGGAGGATTTTTTGCCCTTAACTTTCTTACTGGTAGAAGGACAAGGAACGTCATGGTGCGAAGACTTTCAATGGTGTTTAGTGATTGAAGTATCGATGTCGAAGTGGTGATGTCGATATCTTGGTGCCAATATATTGGTGTCTATGAACTGGTAAAGAAGATGATGTGATAAATAGGAAGTCGAATTCTGTTCGTGCATGGTTGTCAAATACCTAAGGGATGAATAGTCTACTATCACAGAGTGCTTGATGTTTTCAAGTACGGCTGTCAGATAGCAGTATCATGACAGTACCTGAAGAAATCCTCATGGAAACAGCAAATGTAGATGTTGATTAGATAGGTAGATAAGGAGACCGTAGAACGTCGAGAGACAGTAGCACGCAAACCGATCTTAGACTTTTTAGAATCTAGAGGCCGGGGAGTAGGTGGATAAAATAAAAGGGAGAATTTGATTGGCGAGCTGGAATGAATATGGTAGCAGTATCACGCTATTCAAAAGCAGACATGGATCATCAGAAAGCACTTGCAATCATTAACGTAAATATTGAACAACGCTGTGTTTTGATCGTGTTTGATATTGCCCGTCGCCATAAAGCGACCATAGATCTATGTTTGCTACGAAGCTTTTCGCAGGCTTGCCTATTCTATCTTAAATTTAGCTAACTAATCAGAGCTATCCTCTTTTCAGATAACAACCACCCCTTGAACCTTCACTCGCCCTCGAGTCTTTGCTTCTCTAGGCCAACAATCTGATCAGAGATATTTCGCACGGCATGAAGGTGTGCATCGATGACCGGGCTATCATTGAATGCATCTTGTGCCTTAGCTGCCGATCTTAATTGTGCGAGATATTCTTGATAAATCACATCACATTGATATCGTAAACCATCAAACCTATCATCCATTTCCTCATCGTGCGTAAGTTCGGAGAACGAACAAAAATGTACCATTGTACCTCTCAAATCCGCTATTTCGACATGTTTGGAGCCAAGACGATATTTACCATCTCTTCCTTGAGAAACCTCGTCAACGGAGACACCATACATGTGCAAGAAAAGTGATTCATAGTCATCGTTGAACTTGTTGTGTATGTTATTCCGAATCATGAAGGCATCAGTTCGGACATCCCCACCATGTACAGCAGCTGAGCCGCGCTCAATAGCGCCTACGTCGGTGACTTTAAGACCACGTACTGCTGTATAGTTTCCACGAATGTTGCGTCGAGTTGCTTGGTTCAGAAAGCGAAAGCGGACATTAACGGCAAGTGTACGAAGATCATGATTTGGATGATTCTTCCCATTCAGCTTGTATTCTAGGCTCTCAATCTCTGTGTATGCATCGGCAAGTGATGCCCGTGTCGACTCAAGTTCACCATCGGTAGCAGAAAGTCCCAACACAAGTTCAACCTTTTCATCTTCAACTTGCTCCAATTTCTGCTTCAAGATTAAGATTTCTTGTGATGAGGTATTACCAGTATAGGGTCTGAGGTTTCTAATTCGTCCTAATTCATACTCGGATTTTGCAAGTTCTGTTTTGAGAGAAGCATTTTCAGCTAAGACGGTGACTAACAACTGAGTGTGGTTGGTGGAAGCTCCAATGTTATTATCAACAATAGAGGTCATAGACTTTGGAATATCGAGAAGGACGTCGATGCTTTTCAAGATCTCCTGCATCATGGAATGCTAGTTAGCAACTATTATGTATCAAGATGTGAGAATTTCGATGATAATTGCTTACCTTTTTCTGCTCACAGTAAGTTGAAACACTTCTGGACTTTTTGGCCCTAAGACTTTCGACCAGACTTATCATACTTTCTTCCCATGCTTTGTTGATACTTTGCTTATCATCTTGCGTTCCCAGAGTAACTTCGATATTATCATGTGTGACTTTCATCAAATTTAATTGAGTCTGGTCACAGGAGAGTAAACCAAGGAAGCTCTTTAAAACAATTAGTACTTTATCGACGTGACTTGTTGTAATCGATTTTACCTTGAACAATCGGTTAACACTCTTGTGCCAGCCATCCTTCTTGTCTGAAAAACTGTTCAGCTTCTGCTGATGTTCGTAGTTGGCGCGTAGAAGATTGAAATCGAGAGAATTGGATTTGTCGTGCAATTTCAGGAGCCGACTTTCCTGTTCGTTAAACGTGGCGAAAGCCTCTTGAGGAAGAGTGGGATCCATCATTGTGATGTTTATGAGAAGAATATTGAGAATGGGAACTGGAGTTGTTCTGCTCAAAGTTATAGACGATAGGATAAGTGATAAGTATCCCCACCCTCAAGTTAATTGACTCTCAATCGACTCTCAATCGACTCCATTCGCTTTTCGGGGACTAATAATTGAGGGTGAATTATCTCGATTGTTTGTGAGGTAAAGGAAAAAGAATATTATGCATTTTAGTTATTCACTCGCTAGTTGCACACACACAAATGTCATCAATACAGGAGGATTTGGACGGATGAGATGATATGGATTGAAGAAGACCCCTCCTCTCAAAAGCTATATTCGATATCTCGACGATTGTTTCTCCGTCTTTAATCTAATATTCTAACTTCATTTACAATCTTGCGCATCGAAATCAAAACCTCTTCTACCTTGAGGTCTTCATTAAATAATCTTGGGTTGCTATGAGTATTCGTCGCATTATCACCATTTTTCCAAACTCCCGAAACGAGGAAGAAAAGCGAGCATCGCGGCTTGTAGATCTAACAATGTGACCAGAAATAAATATCGGGTCTATGATTTTCTTCAAAAAGTATGTGAGATATTATAACTTGATAAAGATATCAACTTGATAAGCGATATCCAAATGTGATATACTCTACAATAATAATCAAGTGTATAATTATGTATCTTTGATTAAATATTATTATAAAATAATAACTTTAAGTACATATATTTATCCCCTAGAGTGCGAACTTACGGCGCCTTTACTCAATGAGGACTTATTGACCAATCACATCATCAGGATTCTCGAAATTTGATTAGATGTTCACATATAATCTTTAATATAAAATCTCTTTCATAATATTTATATTTTGAAATTTTAAAATTAATAAGATAGATTAATTTTGAATCTTTTTTATCTTACAATTTTTTAAAAAAGTAAAATCTAGAATCAAACTCCTATTTTATAAATAGAGTGACCGGAAAAGCATTAAGGATACTACTCTAATCAATCTAACTTCTTTATATAGAGTATATCATATGAACCATATTGAGCGCTATTTGTTCGCACTTTAGGGGATAAGTTAAATTATGTAAGATAATTTTTCAATATAAAGCTTTTCTTTATTAAAACCTTAAAAAGAATAAAAACTATTAAACTTAATTATATTATATAATTATTTAATAGTATAATTGCTTATTTTTGATGGTGAGATATATAATTATATAATATGATTATAGCTAAGATTTATGTACTTAAATATTGCTTATCAAGTAGGTGTCTTTATCAAGTTGGTGTCTCGTATAAGATTTGAAGAATCTTATAGATCCGTGCGAAAATTTAATTCCCCCTAGTCGCATTGTTAGTCGATTTTGTGAATGAGAAAAAAAAAGACTTTGTACCTCGTAGATCGATAGCCTCTATAGGCTTACTGGATGTAAGAAATTTGGGGCCGAGAAAACTCAGGTTAACGGCGTAAAGGCTACGAAACAATTCTTCATACGTTTCTAACTCTCTATCTTTGTGAGCCTTACATTTCTGTTCAAGCCGACGTGTTGAGCAGCTAATTGTGCTTTGAGCGCGTCAAGAGCAGCTTGAGCGTCGGCGACTCTATGGTAACGAGAGATGATGTGGTTCAATTGCAGAAATATGTCAACTAGCGTACTTCGGATTGATTTACGTGTAGAAATTGTGGATAATAAACTCACTCCAGCTTTGCAAAGAGGAACAGTCAGCAGCTTCCAGATATAAAGACAAATTCCTCCAAGAAATTTCTTTGACATTTGAACCACTGTTGATAAGCAGTATTTTCTAGTACCAAGATTGGCGGGTGCTATAGATTGTACTGATGGAGAAGACATGCCGGTAAGTCTTGCTGAGTTATGCATGGGTGATGAAGGCAAGAGATGTAGACCAGAAATATTCTTTTCAGAAACTAAAATCACCTTGCCGTCTTCAAACTTTCATCGGAACTTTAAGCTTAGTTACAATGATTTTACTCTCACTTTCAAGTCATAGGATAGCACCTTGATGCGCTTTTATAATACTGAATTAGATGACACTAATTACTATGATCGCTGTCCAACCTCTAACTATATTCATGACTGTGAAATCAGATCTGGTACAGTGTATGTACCCAAACAATGCTTTACTAAATCTTTGCTCCGTAAGGTCATTGCCCATCGTTTTCGATGTGTATGTATACTTTTATCTGACACCACTACCACCGCCGACATCAGTTCCAGCCCTTAGTACTCCAACACCCCGCTCTCAAATATATCTGCCACCAACACCGCCACCTGTAAATAAATTCGAAAGATGGCCACCGCTCTTGGTTCTTTCGACAAGGGAGTCACAGATTCCACGCATCTTGTTACAAGCTTCGATAACTCTAGGATCGCCACTGAATGTCTTCGCTGCTTGGAGAGCCGTTATTGATCTTCGATCTATATCTTCGTACTCCCCTTCACAGTATACCGACAAAGCCAAGAATCTATCGTCGGCTTTCTGATCGGGTGTATGTCTCGTAAAACATCCTAGGTGTGCCATTGTTCCTCTCAAGTTGGCCATCTCAGTAATCTTGCACTGTGGAGCGTATTTGTCAGAACATCTCTTCGTAACCTCGCTAAATGCAACTCCGTAGATGCCCTTGAACGTTTGTTTGAACTTGACTCGATGGTTTGAGTTGATGCTGAGAAGAGCCGCATCTGCTCGAATGTTGCCTCCGTATAGATTACTTCCATCAATACTCGTGCTCTTAGCACCGAGATCCATATTGTTTTCTGGAGTCGAAATGCTAGAAACAATTCTATGATGAGTATGATGGCGTATGACAGGATATTCATGCGCCTTAGAAATTTGTAAGAATTCGAGGCGAGTTTCGACTCCGACATCTCGGAGAATGTTATGCGGCTCCCTACTAATCTTCATATTCTCCAAGGACCTAGACAAGTTTTTTACTTCCTCCCGCAACTGGTCGCTGGTATCATCGAAGGTAACTTTGCGTGATGTTGGCCACCACGATCGTGACTGTGGCTGTGGTTGTGTCTGAGCTCGTGTTTGTGCTTGCAATTGTGCCTGTGCTGACTCCAGTTCAGATTCCAAATTTCTATTTTCTTCAGCATATTTTCTGTTTGTCTTGACATGCTCGTCTCTATTGTCTGCAATCTGCTCTAGAAGTTTCTGTGTTGAATCCAAAGATGCAGAAACCTCTGAATTTTCTTGGATGAGTCTGTAATTTCCATATTCGAGAGTTCTGTATTCTTCCCTAGCTTCTGCGAGCTGTTTCTGTGCAGCACGAAGTTGATCTGATAGTCGAGAATTTTCCCTCTCGAGCTCCAAATCCGGCGTCGGCTGGCGAAATGAGGTATGGTAGGTAACATGCGCTGGGGCTGTGTGGGCACTATAGCCCAAATCGTTCAAGCATGCGTCAAAGGATTCATCCCTCGGACTGAAGCCTAGAATGCGATTCTTTTCCCTCAAAATTTCCTGTACAAACCATCAGTATAGACTGATTGGGAAGGATACCAAGGAAACTTACACGCAACCGGCAGCCAAACTCCTCTTTACTCCGCTCCCAATCAGCCATTTCTCTCTTCTTCTGCCCTTCGTATTTTGCCGCATCATACAGATCAATAGCCCTCTTCACATCATGTGCGCTTGTTTTTGGGCCAATCTTAACTGTACGTCTTTTACCGTGTTTATCCTGGAATGTAAATTCAGACGGCGCTAAGAGAGTACTGTTCTGTGAGGCCTTCTACAGTACACGTGAGTCATTGATCTTCAGATCATACAGAGCTATCGAGTGACTAACGATGATCATGCTGCTCCATTTTTCCTTGCTACCATACTTATCATCGTGAATCTTTACGGCACTACTCTTCATGCGATAAAAGTTCTCGAGTTGGATTAGTTCAATCCTTTCGTTTTGTCTATTGAGCTCAAAAAGTTTGTCTCTATCTCTCTCATGGTCTCTTCTTAAATCCCTGTCGGAAGTCATGATACCGGAACTGGTCAGTTCAAGAAGATCCTGGTTGATAAGGCAAGTCTGCTTGGGGTTATGGATGAGTGTGTTTTTTGGAAGTCTCGAGATTTCTTCAAGACATGAATCAAGGTGAGAGAAATTGAAGTTGTGGTTGTGGTTGTGGTTGCTTGTTGAAAGATTCGAAGAGAAATATTGAACAGATCAGGTCCGAGCTCCAGGCTACTCACTCTACTTACTTGTTAGTAATTATAATTCACACACGTCACTATTCCTAACAGATGTGATAACCTACTTGTTTTGTTTTAGATTCACTGCTTTGAGTAATATTGATATTGGATTCAAAATCAATCTGTGCCTGAAGAGGTTGCTCAGAGAAGGTCTCTCTGTTAGATTTCTCATGATCTGTAATTGAACATTATTGTTTCACTACGAATTTTCATCTCTCAACTGTCACCAAGAACATGCGAACCTTGTGTAAGGCAGAACAAAGCCTAATGCCAATTAGACTAACATACAAATGTAAGGTCCCTGTTCAAAAAGTTCGTCACTGTTTCCACCTAAAAATTGCTGTTTCGAATGTAAACTCATGGGATAATCAAATTGAATGAGAAGAGTAACAATTTTCAGCCACAAAAGACTGACTAGGTAGCCCTTGATAATAGTGAATCATAGATTCACCTCATGCAGGTGATTAAGCGAGGCCCCTTTTTTACTTCACTCCCCACCTCGGATGACAACATCTGAGAACCTGAGACAGAAACACACAATGGGCAATCATCCGGTGACTATTTACGAACCATATGATTCCTCTCCTTTATATTATTATGTCGGAATTGACCCGGTGTGTATAGCTTGGCAAACTTATGAATTCGATTGACACTGTGTATGATTGCAGATCGAGAAAGACTGAACATGGCCATTTAAAAAATGTGGCGGCGATGATAATTGTTTCATCTGTCGAGTAATTGTTGCGACAAGAAGATGGAATAATTAGAGCTCTCTAGAATCACCTCGTTAGTAAAATTCAAAGGAATATTGAGCCAAATCAATTCGGAAGTCACATTTAACTCAAAGAGTCGGAACTTCTCCAGTTCTAGGCTGCTTGACACGATGCGAATGAGAAGAATTGGGGCGCCTGTGACGAAATTGTGGAGTTTGAGGGGCTCCATAACTGGTGGAAGGTGTTCCTGGACTGGCACCATGCGCAAAAGCACCCAGACATCGAGACTTAGCAATGATAAGGTCTGCGAACTCTCTAAGCCTCTTCAAATGGTGTGCCACTTCGTGATTTTTTTTCGAATGCCTCATTTCCTAGCTCTATGCGCTTATTTTTCAAAAACTCCATACTATCGCCTGCAGCTTGTTTATCCTGAATTGACATCGACCTATTTTTCAAAGCGTAAAGTGAAATGATACTACCCTGATGATCAATTGCTTGAAGCATGCATGGTGGCATATTCCCATAACTCTGAGGAGATAGGCCATCGTAAATGAGACCGTAAACCTCTTCCAGTTGCCTCTTTTCGCGGTCTGTGAGATAGTTTCCACAAAAGCCCAAGTGTGATTATCACGCGAGAAATCTCACTTGTCATCATCAATATTCGTTTAAGAATGGCACGGTAGAAATCGCAGAAAAGGTACCGAAGAGTTCGCAGAGTAGATAGGCTTTGTGAGAGTGGGTGCGGGCTTGGGACAGGTAGTATTAATAACGTTATTTGTAGTATTTGAGTTTCGCACGTGGAAAGCAGATAGGTCAATCTTCACAAGGAACTTTGATATGGCATAACAGCTGGTGGGTTTCCAAATGGATGATCTGCATTAAGTGAGCGGAGGGACAGGGAAACGGTGCTTTTGTTCATTTTTCTCTACCTTTGACATCGAGTTACCAAGCACACATTATTTCTGGGATTATCTGTTGGTATATATTCCTTGCTCTATATTTACTATTAAAAGACAATAATAAGAAAGTAAAGGAAAACTATTAGTTTGAAAGAGTATGATAACAGACTAGTATGTTAGCATGGCAGAAAAGGGAGAAGGGCATTTTATCACTTGATGTTGAGTTGGGAATTGTTAAACCTATTAAGAAAAGACGACGTCTAGTCGTTTGATTTGATTCGAGTTGCGAACACCACTAGGGCTCAAAGTCCAAGAAGTCCAGCTTCATGAAGACCTTTTACCCTCACCCCCCGTCCCCGGATCGTCGATCCAAAACCTAAAGTCGGCTAGCGCCAGTGTTGTTGGGGTTGGAGTTAGAGTTAGATTGATCGAGCTTGATCGGGATATTTCCATACTCAGGAGTCGATGGAGTTGGGGCTGGATAAGTTGGCATGAGTCTATACTCACCTAGGCGAACTTCGACCATGGTAAGATTGACTTGAGAGTTGCTGGAAGGCATGATGAAGGAAGTTGGGATTGCGAGACTGGAAAGTTTCGAAATGTTTCTTGGAATGTCTTCTGGAAAGTTGTGGAAAGTAAAGCTGTTGGTGGTAGTGCTGTTACTGACTAAGGATAGATGGAATGAACTGAAGAAGAAATAGATCAGTGGTTCATTCGACAGATAAATACTAGACTACCATCAATTGTTTCGGCACAATTTGTTATGTTCGGATCAATGCTATTGTGGCTTCGCCTTTGTCATGCACTGAATAGCTAGGTCTTCTTAATAAAAAATAATAGCATTGTTTAAAAGTCCTTGTTGAACTTTACAAGTGAAAACAAAATATTGCTCTGAACAACCTACGAAACAAAGAGACACTGCACGGGATTTTCCTTTAATCCTTAACGTCAAAGGAGAAAATTTAGAGCGCCCAATTACAAGTTTCTACAGGCACTAACTACTACATGATCTCAAGAAGATGAAACTATCGGAGAAAGAGTCGGGTTCTATTGCCCAATGACTTGGGAAGGAACTGTTGTCTCAACTAGAACTGAGAATTAGGACGGCCCCCCCCATATGCTCGAATTCACAACTATCGGAAATGTTACTCATTTTCCCACTTCATTCTTGAGACTAAGATATGCAAGGATCATCAGTGAAAGATGGACCAAATTGCTATCATTCTACAGATAATGTGCCTGTTTTAAGAAAGCTACTTTCTTACCACAGCCGCAATATTTTCTAATATCATGCGATTTTATATCTACAAATCATTCCATGAATCAGTTCTTACCTGTTAGCGAGAACACGACGAAGCCAAATTCATAGTCCAGACATCTTCACAACTGGATCACAAGAGCATGCATCACGTAAAGGAGAGTAGGTGTGTATGGTGGAAAGCTCTATGTTTAGCATTACGCAATTCGGACAAGATTATAAAATGAAATAAGATTTTGAAGAAATTTCCCGTGAGAGGTAGACGGCCAGAGATCTCACATTAGGCCTAGATTATCACCAGAAATACGAGTATATAATTGAATAATCAGATGGCTGTTTGCTACGCAATGGGATGAAGGTAAGTATAAATATCGCAAGAGGGAGGTATCACTAAGTGCAGAGTATAAAAGGATTTGGGGCTTGTATTAAAGTAGGATTATTAATTTTGCTGAAAAAGAATGGCCGTCTCAAAGATTGGTTTCCTTAAATCTGTTGAGATCTACTCGGTTTGGCCCTTAAGGTCATCGAATTTATGATCAGGTCTGTTTGTTCAGCTGGGGTTGCCCAGAACGGGCCAAAAGAACGTTGAAAGCGTACAACTAGTCTTTCGAGGTTCCTAAAATACCCTGTTTTACGAAGTAGGGAGTTCGGATACCTTGTCCAGCTTTTCATTTCGAGGGATTTGACCATGTCGCACTCTTTTATGGGTGCAGTTTCAGGAATGTCAGGGCGTACCCCTCTTGGGCTCTTGGGTAAAGATTTCGAGGGCCCATGAAAAAGTTGATACTGTTATTAAAGTCATGAAGACGGAGCATATCGATCTTTGGATTGAAATAATTGAAATGAAAATCATCACAGCCAGTAAGATTAGTACCATCGAAGAGAAGTGGCATATGTTTCAGAGCAAACTCGTGAGATTCGTGATTTATCTGAAAGAGGACCGGAATCTTTTTCTTTTTCGTCGTTTGGTTAGATTTTACGAGGTGAGACCTTGGTTTAGGAAGTGCGAATTCCCAGATATTGGCTCGGAGCTCTGCTGGAAGCATGGAGAATGACACGATAGCTAGGTACATAGTTTTGAATAAATGCTAACTAGGTATCTGAGTTGTAGTGGGGTGTGTATGTCTGTATAAATTGCTTTATAATGTGAATTCTGGATAATATTAATGAAATTTACATTAATACATCCCCTAGACTGTCTCACTCTGAACGAATACACAGACACATCAAAAAGACAGTCCTACTTTTAGAATTCCCTTCTAAAACCAATAGTGAGCATCTTTGATTTTTAATTGATGATAAAATATCAAAAACTTATAAATTACAAGAAATCTTTGTTTTATTCAATTTATAATATCTTTTCAAATTGATTTTGATTTTTGAAATATTAGTGTTTAAAAGAGAGTCTCGATTTTAGCGGATTTGATGTGCTCATTTTTTTATTTAGAGTGAGACTGTCAATTAGCGGCGTCGAAAGTGGTCCGTGCGATATGCCTTGAATGATAAAGCCTGGTTGGTTGGATTGATTATTGTAATGCTTTTTCTGTTACTTTATTTATAAAGTAAAGTTTTAATTTCATATTTTAATTTTTTCAATTTGAAAAAGAAAAGGATTGAGAATTAGTATATATTAGTATAGTGAACGCTTTGAAATAAAAATATAATTGATTGAATTTTATATCAAAAATTAAAGGTGAATATATAATCAAATTTCAGAAATCCTGATAATTTGATTGGTCAATTAGATCTCTGTTAAGCGACGGCGCCGCTAGTTGACAGTCTAGGGGATAGTGAACCATTATGTATTATTCTCATGTTGTTTCAAGATACTTTTCAATCAATGAGGGTTCTGTAAAGATATCTGGAGAATCATGATGTGTTGTTCCAATTTAATTCCAGCAGAACAAAGGATAGACCTATTCGTAAGTAACAATCAAACGAGAAGAGAGAACAGCAAGCTACACTGTCCCGTAACTTGCAGATTGGAAGGGATATGATAAGAGGGGGGTGAGCGGAGGTGCTAAAGACAAGACAAGCATGAAAGTATGGATGAAAAAGAGGCAGATAGTATAAGTATATAATTAAAATTTATTTAATATGAATTGACTACTAGATCTTTTAACTTATCGGTATGAAAGGTTGGGCATACCGATCTCGTGCATTGATACTCTTTGAATGTATTCCTTTGTATAAAAAATTTGTTTCCCTTTAACCACATATACACAATTTTAATGGAACGAACATACAGATTTCCTCTACCTAAGAGCTCGAGAGCCTGCCAAGCCTGCTATCAATGAGATGAAATCAATTCTTATTACAAAGAGTTTGAAGTTTGAACGACTAGCTATCGCTGGAAGAAATTTGAGTTGAGCACTGATATATCACGGTTTAACAGGGTCACTTGAGTTGTGGAGGAATACATATAGACTTGCGGGATCTGTTATTAACGGAAAGTATTTAGATGATGTGGAAGGACTATGTGGAAATAAAAAATAAAGTATAGCATGAGGACTACTATAACTAGATCTCATAATACTAGAGAATTTTACGAGGATGTTGAATGAATGTCAGTTGACAAAGAAAGATATGGGGTTTTAAATGAAAAAATATTGTATTGAAATAGGAATGAAATTATATGTCAATAATCATCAAAGAACAACGCATGCAAAGGAAATGTATACGGTTGTGTGTTGGGGTTGGGTGAGGGTAAAGCTTGTCACGACTCAAAAGGGATGGGCGTGGAAATAGGCGTATTGGCCCGTCGAATCCACAGCGCGCTGGTCGACCCGTGTAAGCAAAATCTCGATTCTAGGAACTCTACTGATTAAGCCGGCATTGAATCGGGTTTGAAACCACGCGCGTGCAAGCCCTATATCCACCCTCATCTCCCCATGTATGTCGCGTACAAATAATTGGCTACCTGCATTGCTTGTTGGGTAGGGAGGTCCGAACATGATCCCGGGGAGGCGAGAAGAGCTGTACTGAATTCTAAAGCATTCGAGGTTTCGGAAATATGCTGTGGGCCCTGCTTGATTCATCTGATCTTCATCAATTTGAAGGGAAGTAACATTGTCGCCCTGTGCCATCGGTGCTTCGTTAGTGAGATCCGCAACTGGTGGAAGAATAGTTGGTGGGAATACAAAGAGTCGAGTGGCGCCACCATCAAAGTAAATAAGATCTGAACGTGGGTTGAAATACTTGAACTGTTCAGGAAAACCAATGCCATTGACGCCGCCGAAAAGACGCTTCAGCTGTTTGAGAGCCTCTTTTCTGGATTCGTAATTTACATAGAGAACGGCTGGGTTCTGACGGGAATGCGCTCTGTTGTGTCTCATCGCGTTGTCAGTGATTCTGATGGTCTGGTGCCCTGGAACGAGTAACTTCCAAATCATGAGTCGAACCTCTGAAGGCAAACTGGAAAATGCAAAACTTGTTGATCTTGGAGGAGCTCGAACAACAGTATTTGAATTGAAGATTTGAGGAACAATGGAACTGTCCCCGTCCGGAAGAACATTGAATAGCTGAAGAGCCTGTTGCGCAGGGGTGGGTGTGCCTATTTCTCCCATCGGTTGATTGCACCTGCAAGAGCTGGCCCCGGTGCGGGTTGAGCTGCAAGACTGCAATTCCGATCAGGAAGAGCATCTAGCATCAAGAGATTAGCCTGCTGTGGATTGGATTGTCCTAAGGCTTGCCATTTGTTTGTCAAGGCTCGGACTGTCCCTGGGACAATTGGATTTTGCTTGTTCGCAGACATGGTCTAGAAGTTGAGTCTGAAGATGGTTAGATATTCTGTTGATGTGGTTAGAGTATCAATCGATTCTGCACTAATAAGAAAAGGAATATTAGAATGAAAAATAACTAGATATATATAAGGAATATCTTGAGCTGTTCCCACACAGGTTCCGCATTATTCCCATACACTTTCCATATGATTCACACACAGTTCAAAAAGGATTACAACATTTCTGGAGTGGAAATAGCGTCCACACAGTTTGTGGTTGTTTGATTATTGTTCCAAAAATTGGGCATCTGAATTGCAAATTGTTTTCATTATTCAGTGCAGCATGGTAGTTTGTGGTTTGTAAAAAACGATTGTTTCTGGTGTACTCTAGCTTAGAGATTTTGGAACATGAGTAGCCATTTTTGAGCCTTACATACAATGCTAGTTTTGATCTCAGGTCCTATGATTATCCGAACAAGGCCATGACATGCGAGAGCAAGATATACCCAAGCATAGTTCTTTCACGTTGGAACTAGCACCAAACCAGAGGTTTATCACGACATTCATTCAAAAAGACCATAGACATTATTCCAAATTGTATTCGCTATTCTAACCCAACATAGTGACACAGCATTCGCTAGATTAATCATTTAAACTGTTGCCCACTCTGAATCTTCCGTCACTTAATCTGGGGGCCGGATTCTCCGCTTGCTATTCCTCAATGCAATTTTAACAGCTTCCCAGATGTGAACCGCCTCTTTCCGTAGTCCCTCCACCCTCGCAATGCTTTCGAATTTTTCGCGTGATTCTGCGCGCTCCCAAATGGCGATCATCTCTTTTAAAATCAAGCGAAGCTTTTGGTGATATGGGTAGTCTACCAGGAACTCGCGAGATTGATGAATTGCAGCCGCGGTCTTGCAGTCCAGCACAAAGATCAGAGCGGAAGGGTATGTATGTGGAACCGAGGAGTCCGCTGATGTTGGCACATGTCTCTTTCCGTATATTCGTTGCATGCTTTCATTGACTCGGTCAATAGATTTAGTTGAAAGACCACCGTGCTGCGCTAGCAAAAAGTCCGCCTGTATTGGATGTTAGTGATCATGACTTTCCAATGAGGGATGGGCACTCTTTTACTTACTTCGAAATTAGGATCATGAGCTGCGACATTCCCTGACTCCACAATGCGTCCATCTAGCATTCTGCCATTGTTACCTTCGAACATAAAGTGGATGTTCTCAAGCCACCTCAGTCTCAAGGCTATCCCAATGCTTAGAAGGGGCTTCACCCTCTCGCTTGTTTCTCGAAGCCTTTCGTGATTTGAGCGTAGTTGCTGATGCTCTCCGCTCAACCTTTCCAAATCAGATACCAGTCTAAGATTCTTCTTCCGTTCTTCCTTCAAATCTTCCATGATCTTTTGATAATTTAAGTCTAGCGAAACAGACTTGTTGTGTAGCGCTTTATTCCTGTTATCTGCTAGACGTAATTGCTCACTAGTCTGCTGCCTCTCGCTTCGTATCTGATCCTGTATCTGTTCAATGTTCACCTGGAAGTTATCTACTTGCAGTGACATTTCATTTGGTGATCTGTCCGCATTTTTTCAATAACCTTAACTGCAGAACTGCGCTCTGCTCTTAAATCTTTATTTTCATCGAGTGTCAATTGCAGTATTCTCCTCAATTGGGCAGCTGACTCGTTTCCAGAGAGACCTGGCACTTCTCTCGAAGGGTGCAACTCATAGCGAGTATTTTTCTTAATCATCATTAAAGCCCAGGAATCCCCTGCCTGTGGCTCGCCCATAGGTAGAGTGTGATCGGTGACTATCACTATGTTTCCTTTGGTTCTGCATTTGGTACAGATGAAGATAGAGTGCATTTCCTTTCTCAACTCCTTCACAGTCTGAGCGTAAAGGTCGGTCTTAGACTGGTCTGCATCATGGCTGGAATCTACAGGAGTAGACATTGGCGGCGATTTCGGAGATCAAAGAAGTGATACAGGGAGGTGGGATGGGTTGCCTAGACTGGAATAAGATCTTATTTTAGGGGCGTAGACAGAATCTGTAGTCGAAATCGACGATGATGACCATTACAAGGCGGGTTGAAAATGACTTTTTTGTTATAGACAAACCGCAGGAATGAAATGCCCAGCTGTTCAAGGACTGGTATTCCAGGAGACTTGGATTGTTAAAGTGGAAGTTTGTATGTATCCCAGAATGTTTCTCGTAAGAATGAAGTTCCTTTTCGTGGTTGTGTGTGGGAGGTTCGAAAAAAAGAGTTCGACTATACAATTATAAAGACTGCTGTGTGCTTTTGTACTCGACTTCCTTGATTTTGAAATAATTGAGCAATTAAAATATTCTATACTCTCATGTATAAAATTGGCAAACAAGGCTCGAAAACAGGGTACAGTAACTCCAAATGAGATTTCTAATGCAATATTAGCGTAAAATTAACGACTCTAGTAGTTTCATCTAATTCTAAATTAGCTCGGCCTATTTTCACCCGGCTGTCCACATTTGCTGTATCAGCATCATGTGAATTGACATTATTCATATTCAACAGTATAAGACTTGCTTTGATATATAAACGCGAGTGAATTTGACTGGCGGTTCAAACAACTTTTTGACTGATAATTTAGAGGACAGGATTATTGCCTTTTATGGTATTCTTCTGAGTTTGTGTATATGACAAGAGATGAAAAATCTGGAATGATGTGTTGGAACTTTCCTTGAGTCTTCTATGCTATGTCTTTCTCCTAAAAGAATGTGTATTTATTGATACTTTGTAGAATCTTACCTTCAAAGCAAAAGATTTATGCTACTAAGCTAGCTCGTGTCTAAGTACAAAAATCAACAATTGCCAGGTATTTTGTTTGATTCAATGAATAAATGACATTCACAAGAATAGACAGCAAGAAATTTGTCGAATGTCAAACATGGGTTTGATGAGTCATTTGTTGCAAGAAAAACAAAAACAACAGTATTATTACTGATTAGGTATCATCCGTCCATCATTACACCTTGCTCATCCAAATACACCTAAGGATTAATTTTCCATCATCTCCAAAACAATATCCTATGATACAAAGAAACCATGTACTCATTGTGCATCGGATTATACGCCGGATTTCGCTACGTGAGTTTGACCCACCCCATCGCATCGCTAGCATCCCACATTGGGGTCTCCATTCTCAGTACGCATTCTTTACGCAATCCATTATTGGATCTTTCGTAAGAGCACAGTATCGTCCGTAGCATTCCTCCTTCTTTGCCCGCGAGTAGCGCTACAGATGGAGGACGCTCGGCGGAGAAAACAGTAACAGTCATTGTGCCCTGAGATGTATGTGATTAGCTTGACTATCTATTTGAGACTCGGAAAAAGGTTAAGGCTTACAGTATCAATCAAAGTGAATAATCTATGCCCATGAGGAAGATCCGCTACATTGAAGCGAGGTTCCCCACCGATTCTCTCATCTGCTTTACCAGTGCAGTATGGACCGCTAGAAGGTGTGTATTGAAGACGACCAATTGAGTTTCCGAAAGTAAGAGTCTCGATCTGGTCAAGTGGAAGAGTTCCTTCAAAGCCAACAAGCCAAGGTGTGGCACCCCCTATTTTATCGTTAGTGTCAAAGAGTCAAGAAGATAGAATATTACTTACAAACTTTCCCGCCGTAGAGAATCCGAACAGCGAAGGGAGCTGAAAGCAATATGATAAGTCCCAAGACTAAGAAGAAAGCCCCCAGTCCGCCGAGTGAGCCACCTTGAGCCACCAAAGCGCATCCCGTAATAAATAAAATTGGTCCAAATGCCAACGCCCAATCAGCGCCTAGCTTTTTCCAAGATCTTCTTCTGAGAGAATAAATTCTGGGTATGTCCTTCCAGCGAATAGAGATTGCATGGGCACCATCTAGAATCAAGGAACCATCGTGGCAGACGCCTGCTACCTGACAGAGAGGCTGAATGTCCCATAAATTGGCACCAAGATCATCTTCAAGATTGAACCACGCAGGTTTACCTGTCATGCGAATACCATCCATGCAAGCCATACGTTCGACGATTTGATCACTATCATTGGCCAGTGATAGTCGAGCAAGAGCTTGCTCTTCTGTGTCAGAAGGATCCATACGGGGGCGTTTTGTGAGAAGTGTCATAAGAGCATAGGCAATATCACCGCGTTGGAACTCGGTGAACTGTCTAGACTTCAAAGCTTTAAGGGCAACCTGAATCAGCTCGAGCCGACTTAATGACAAGGATCCAGTATAATGCTCAGCTAACAGACGGAAAATTTCGTCATTTCCATCGTGTATGATTTCATTGCTTGGTGTGAGCATTCTTGCCCATGATCGATGCGTGAACTCTATGATATCAACAACTTCTATTTTATCGACACCCTCTTTGTTCTGAAAGTCGGGTGTGCAGACACTAACTTTGTGATCTCGGGCAAGCAAAATTTCAGGTAGGCACCAGAGACGTTGGCCAAAGAACACTAGAGCTTGTGGAGAGCGGTCGGGCAGCACAACACAGACCTTCTCAGCTCCTCGAGTGACATCACAGAATCGATGGACATCGTCAGTGGCTTCGGGTTGTAGTTCCGCTCTGCACTATAACACAAAGTCATTAGTTGTTATTGCGCTAATTTAGGATCGAGACTTACATGGAAGTCCGCCCAATATGCCTCCATTCCATGATGCAACGTGAGCTTTCTTGCTCTTCGATCAATGGCCTCTTGGTCCAACTCAGTCTTGCCCGGGTTTTGGTCAGTTGGGGCAGCTCTCTGGTATTGGGCGGCTGCAAAACTAATAAAGATATATGGACCAGAAAAGCTTCCATCTTCGACAACTTCCCAGTCGTTGTTGCGGAATACAACTAAGGCACGAGGTCGAAGAAGGCGATTCTGTTCACCCTTGATTATGTAGGTTTTATCTCCATCATCTTGGCGCTGCCCTTTGATCCATTGCGCTGCATTCGGGGCAGCATCTAGTTGATTCAAAGCATGCTTCGGATACTCATAGCATTTGTGAGGGAACTTGGTGTATTTGTCACTGTTTTTCCCATCACCATTAGTAATCCCATATATAACAATAAATATTATGACAGGAAGGACGAGAATAGATCTCCCGATAGCCAAGGCTATACCTTGAGCCGAGTCGAGCTCATTTCCGATGGCCCATGAAGATACTCTCAAGAGTGTGGGCGCATTCCCTCCAACACGTCGTCGTCTCCATTCTCCTTGGGGCTGGATATCGGGACTGGAAGCGGCTTGTACAAGCATATGATATGGTTTGCCATAGGAAGGGGAGATATATCTAAGGAGATCTCGAGGTCGCCATGTCTCCCGATTTAACACATCTCTGTGAAAGTGTGTGGGTACTGGATCGAGAGGACCTGCCTTTTCTGCATCCCTCAAGGTAGGGTTGGAGTAGGTGAACTGCTTGAACCAATGTCTTTGTCCATCGAAATGACGGTTGATATCTGCCGAAGTTGACATAATGAAAAAGCCTTCAGGCACAAACTAGCGTCGATGAATGGATCTCTTTATGATGAGAGGCTCAAGGACGTCTGCAAGGCTTTATAAAAATCCTTTCAATCGTTTGAACAGAACAGTTGACGCGGAAAGTGGAAGTTAATGAGGAAAGATTCCTCAAAACACAAGTCATCCTTTCCCCGGCATCTTCTACCTACTTCAGAAAAGAAATAGCATTCAAAATTTCGTGGTATGGACGCCGAGGCCCTTAGAGCAAGGGTTAAACCCATTGAAATAAAGAATTCTCTAGGTGGCTTAGGGCTGACTTGTCCCATGATATGTGTTCTGTATGACAGGCACCATAAGGCGGGATAGTAAGCACCTAATGGTTTTTTAAAGACAAGAATTGAATATCAAAACCTCCTGCTCATGCTATTTTTACAAATTTCACGAATGATTCCCGTGTAACCAATCCTCCGTCGATGAACTAAAAGTCGTTGCCTAAATAATGATATATGAGTGTATCAACATCCTGCATTGGGGAGGGAGAACAGGAAAGCCTGACCTATTATCGGAAAGCCAAGAAACTGAAAAGCAATGTTTCGACCCCATTTTTGTCAGGAAAGGGATGCCCAGAAAGCCACCAGCCAGTATCCATGGCATTACCGAAGGCTTACATTTCATGCATCAGAATGTTCCACGTGGGTTGAATCACCACCACAGCTTTGGTGGTAGTGCGTTGGCGCTCTCTCTCCCCAATATTGGAGTAGATTCATGTCAGACTTGAGTTCTTACCCCATACTTTATCACAGTCTGAAGGATGAAAGAGTGGTTTGCACAAACTAGCGAGCCGGTCAACCCCCAAATTTGTGTAATCTCACGTGACTAATATGCATTTTGATTGGATTCTATTTCGAGACTTCCAATTTCGCCAAACTTCAGCTCATGCAGCCACCATGAACTTGTAAGACAACATGCAAATTTGAGGCTCTTCAAGCGGAAAATATAAACTACCCCTCGCATTTTGACCAATCATTCGCGACGATTACAACCATCCCAAACCTCATTTCCAACGCCCTTGGCAATGATCATTTCGACTCCAAGCAGGATGTAAAACTGTTCTTCTAAACGTTAGCCGGCCCTTGAATTTCTAGAAACGAGATGATGAGATGGGCCCCAACACCTTCTAGTAGTATAAGGTATATTCTTATCTCTAGAAGCCCCGGTATCGGGGATTGAAAGATCAGTATCGTATTTTGAACCGTTCCAGACCCCGAATAGCTACCTACTACCCACTTCGACCTCATCTCACTGCTTATCGGGCCCAGAAACAAAATCTTGACGACTTTATGCACTAGGCTTTCGGAAGGATTTCGGAACGGTAATTCGAACTTCATATGTCCCGGGAAAGCCGCGAACCTAATTCTAGCCTTTGTGTCAAATAATACGTCTTTTCAAGGAATAGAAAGTACTGTAAGTTTCGAAGCTGACCATTTAGTCTTTGATTAAAGGTTGTCTACCTCCCGCAAACAAAAGCATACCGAGATTGAGGCATATATCACGTGATCGTAAAAGATTTACCATGCAGGGTCTTAATTCAGGGCCTTCCCATGCTTGCATTACTTTCGTGTATTTGCTTCCCCTATCTTCTTGTGAAGGCATGTGACTTGATACAGCGAGAGGGTTCTGGTCTAAACTTTTAGATGTATCATAGTGTGTAGCATTGTACCTCAGGAAATCTCGAATGAACACTGAATGAAGTGAGGGTATTCATTCAATTATAACTACCTAAATGAATGAATACTGTATCCTTCTCGTCCTCTGATCTCTTCCCTAGGCTCTTCCCCATGGCTGGGTCTCTTTCCCTCTGTATAGCTATTGCCTCTTCTGTACACGCACGTCTTTCCTCTTCATATCCTAATCCCGATCATCAAAGAAGCGTCACTGTAAGAATGACAACAATGACCGCTTCAATTTGCAGAAATCATCTAAAAACCGTGTGGGCTACTCTATGATGAAAGCATCTCGAAGATCTGGTAACTCAGACAACAACGGGCACATTAAGACAAAGAAGAGGCTGGGGACTTTCTAGTCTCTACTTTTCCGTGAAAAGAATTATCATTGCTTGGGGTACCAATTCCCAATATTCAATTAGCACGGTGTCCTGTTGGAAGAAGAAAAGTGTTCGGCAAGTCAAGCTAGAAGGCCGCGATTTTCGAGAGAAGGGTACGATTGACATACTCCCACTATCATTTTGGATCTTCACGCTCAAAATATCCCGCTCAATACATTTACTACAAAGTAAATTATGAGACAGGTTTCCATATTGAAAAATCATATCAATAGCCCATGTCGATGACAGATATATTGCCTGCCATCGAAGGATAGAATTCCTCATTTTTGTGCGCAATGAAATGGTACATTATGCTCATTCTCTGTCCTTCAACAAAATTTGTTGAATTTATCATTTAGGTGTGCTTGAAGTCAAAATGCGAAGTTAACAGAAGTGGATGCTGAAGAGGCCGGATGTCGCTTGAACATCGCGCCGTTCAACCCCAGACCACCAGTTTTCTGTATTTGGAAATTTAGAGGGTAACTTCACCACAACAATTCATCACACATACAAATTTCATTTAGTTGAATGAAGCCCTGTCTCATGTGAATCTTTATTCGATATCTTTCTTTCAAGCGCGAAAAAACTGCCATGGGACAATCCGCCTTCAAGATACGTATTCAGCGCCCTTCCCTATAATAGTGAAGTTAATATACCGGATAAAGAGAAATTTAATATAAATTTATATACAGATTCTTATTGTGTATATTATAATATTAATGATTCTTTTGTTATTAACGAATATAATTAGTTCAAAATGAGATCTGTTTATTATTGAATTTTTATAGAAAAAAAGAAAATAAGAGTTCTGAAAGGTCTTAGAGATCTTAGTATTTGTGAGTATTAAATTTGTAGGAGAGGTGGATGGAAGGGTATATGTATAGGGGTTAGGAGGAGGTTAAAGAGGAGGAAAGGGGAGTGAGTGTAGAAGCTAAGGAGTAAATAGAAGGTATTAGTCGAAAGTTTAAAGGAGGGTTTGCTTATTTCATTTCTGAATTATTCTTTAAGTAGAAGTTTTTTTATTATATTATATTATATATAGTGTATTATATATATAAGAATATCAAAATAGTCACATATATATTTTTATTTTATTAATTATTAATCGAATTCAATATAAGCTTAATAAATAAACTTTTAAACTTAAAATTTTAAGATTAGCTTTTCAAATTCAAGAAATTTATTAAGATTTTATTAATTAAAATAAGCTTTTTAAGGTAAAGAGCTTTAGATTAATTATATTAATACTTTAAAAATGCTTTTTTAAATATAGAATTAAAATATTAAAGGTTTTATTGTATTGATGAAGCGTTCACTTCGTCAGCCACGGATTCTGCCACTACAGGGCTTCAATCAATCAAGTTTGTGCGACAACGACCATTCAAGTTGTCGCAACGACCTTGGAATAGTCTATCAACGTGTAATAGTATTCATCTTATCTGCCCTGTCAACCCACACTACTTCGTTCAAATTCATCTGCATTTGTCCCGAGAAATTCCGGTTTTAAAGAGTAATGACGGAATTGAAAAGGCTACCAGTTGGCAAGTTTTGATCAAAGTCAGCCATTTACTCTTCACAACATTGAAAACGATGTCAAAGTCTGCACTCAACATGGCGGGAACACCCGAAATCAATGATGGAATCAGGGATCTAAAGGCTTATATGGAAGAAAATCCATCATTATGGCAACAGCCTGCGTATCGCTGGGCAGCTGAAGCAATGCTGTGGAGGTTCAATGGTCTTCTTACTGATCGTATAGACCTTAAGATCCTTCAAGATAAGAAGCTCTTGGAGATCTTCTTCTTCTGATCTAAAACTATCACTTCAGCGATCGAAAGCCCCCGACTTTTGGCAATTGATGCAATCAATGAATTAAATAGGGAACCAGAAACAAAATCTAAGGTCGTCGCAAATGCTGAAGTCTCCAGCATTTCACAAGCTTCAAGCCCTGCAGGTATGTTCCCTCAGGATTTTAGAAGTGATTCTACTTTCTCAGCTGGAAACTCAATGACTGTTGGTTCGAGAAGGATACGGAAGACGTAGCACCCACGGTATTCGCAGGTCCTAAATGTCTATATTGTATTCTATCTAAAGAGCTAGCTAAGTACAGGAAGTTGTAGGTCTTATATAGACGCTACAAGAAGAGCTAGTCTCTTCTGCCTTCGCTTGAAGCTACTGTATCCCGCATTCGCTAAAGACTGCAATACAGTAGCTAATGAATTGAAGCTATTCAATAAATCCTAATGATCAATGTTCATACAATGACAAGCTAAGCTAATCTTCTGTCAGAACGTTCGGATGTTCATCTAATAGAGGACTCCATTTTGAACGACACTCTAGGTGTTGTGGGTTCTCGATCTAGCGTTGATCAATCGGAAAATATCGACCACATCATTACTCGGCACTCCGATAATCAACTAAGCCTTTGCCAGCCTACAAGTTCAGACGAAAATCCATTCACTGCGGCGTATCACTCTTTCATTGCGGACAATGAATCACACAGAGGCGAGAATACTACCTGTGCCGAGACAATATCTGCAGTGGAGCATGATGAACTTCCTAAGATAAAGAAGAAGAAGAAGAAATCCAAAAGAAGAAGACTACAGTTGGAAATTCCACAGTAGAAGCAATTTTAACGACAGTAGAGACCGGCCATAGTCCAACGTCAGTCCCTCCAATGGCAAAAGAGTATGTATTAACGGCAAGTTCCATGCTAGATCGACTTATGGCCCTATCAGACGCTGGAATAAACAGTTCGGATCAAGCAGTAGCCACATCCACTTTCTCTGAGACGGAACAAATTGCCATCCTAGAGGAACTCGATAAAATCTTGCTGAAATGCAAGTCGGCCGACGCTCCAGAAGAGCTAAGACCGAAGCCGGTGAAAGATTCAAGGTTGCAGTTTATCGAAGAGCTACGATATAGCAACATACTGGAAGAGTCAAGACAGCAGTCGATCGAAGATCTAAAAGCCGAGCACCAGAGAGTTTTGGCGGATCTCACAAAAAAACACGAAGCAATCAAGTTTGAGAACAGAAACCTGAAGGTGGACCGCAACAAGGAGCTGGAGGAACTTCGGAAAGGAAACTCAACACTGCGTGGGATGTCATCGGGTCTCGAGCAGGAGGTGACGCAATTGCGAGCGGAACTTCAGTTTGAAACCAAGTGCCTTAGAGTGGGCCACAAGCGAGCTTAAGGATGAAGTATACCGTTTGAAGCGAGACAATAGCAAGCTTATTGAATGTAAAGAAGCACTCAAGAACTTAGCAACGGGGAAATCGCGCTAAGTCGACAAACTTACAGAAGCGCTTTTGGGAGAGCAATTAAAAACCAACATGTCAAGTTCCAAGATACAAGAGCTGCAAGCAAAAGTCGTAACGCTTGAGGAGGAGCGTACCATATTAGAGCCCCTCATTGAGGTTGGAGTCGCAGTCAGAAAAAGGGTTTTTGAGCAAGCTAAATATGCAGTCTCACTGGGTGAGATATTCAGTCGAGCCGATCATAAGATCATTAGAGAAGGAAACGATCACTGTCACCGAGCAAAATGCTTGGCTGATGCAGCTATTTTCAAACTTTTCTACCTATCAGGATCCAGCAATGAAGCTCTTTACAACAAAATATACTATATTGATTCACAGGCAGATGTCATGAGCCTCCCCCTAAAGTTGCGCCAGGCATTAGACAGCAACGCTAGTATCAGAACCGTTCCAGTCATAAATGATAGCACTACTTCACTGGAGAGCCTAGTGACATGGCAGACACTGGTGAATGGGGTCGTAGTGCTGAAGAGCCTGATGACATGGCAGGCACTGGTGACTGGACCGTTCGGGTGCCTGGTGACATGGCAGGTACTGTTGATTGGGATTAAAAAATAAGCTAGTAAAAGCTTCCTATCCCACTGGACAATGGCTAGCTTTTATTCATAGTTCCGAGTGAACATCGTCTTCGGGACTTCCGAATAGATTTATCTATAGTGTAAAATACTTTCTTTTCACGGACCTGAGTTTTATCTCGGAGGTTGCTTGAGAATATGCTGCCCTTTCAATCTAATGTTGGGCGCGAAATCAAGAAGATTTCTAGCGCGAGGAATTCTGGTTCCGGACTGAACGCGAGACAAACTCAAGAACGCTCCAACTCAGAAAGTGTTGCAACAACGGCAATGGTATTGGAGAAGACAGATGCTTTGTTCGCTGATTTAGAAAAAAACTCGATCCTTCTAACCGCGAAGCTGCCGCAACATTTCTCCGTGTCCCAGACAGCAGCAGGAAATTTTGCTGCTATTCCACAGGAAGCGAACGCGCTTAAGAATAGTGTTGCCCAACAACTTGGAGATCAAGATTAAGAACTGGAGAACCAGAAAGATCAACACGCAGAAGAATTGAATGAACTTCGCAGGCAGCTGTCTGAGAAGGAAAAAAAAAGAAGACTCAATTGAAGACGGAGGTAACAGCTCTTTCCGAGAAGAACTCGACGCCCAAGCACGAGAACACTAGATTGTTGCATAACTTGGATTAAGAGACGGAGAAATGCGTAATGCACCAAAGATCAAAGCACGAACTCATACACCAGCTAGAGCTTGCAGTGGATGCAAAGGACTACTTCGAAGCCAAGGAAGAAAACATGAGACTTGAAGCTCAGATTGAAGGGATTGGGGGGAGAAAGAAAATCTTCAATTGAACGTTAACGGACTGGTGCAAGATCTCACTCTTAAAAAACCGCTGGTTTTGGTGGGTGCTGCTGTTAGATTCAGAGAGCTGTATAGTTGTTACTCAAACCGCCGTGGGTACTTTCATCCAATTGAGATTCGGCTTTCGGATATCCTTGCTGCTAATCGAGCCCACCGAAGGACAGAAAGTTCGGTATTCGAACGCGGAGACTAATGGAGATGTACCAACAGCTCCAATTATTGCAAGATTCCGAAGAACCCTTAACTATGGAAATCTTCAATCATGTGACAGCGATCGAGCTATGGACCGACGACATCATTGACCTAGACTTGAGAACCCGTCGCGGATAACTTTGGGCCTGTGTGATTGACATTGCTGTGACATTTTTGCTCTTGGGCAAGTCCACAAGAGTATGCCGAATCAACAAATGCAAACAAGAGTTTTGGATGGTGTGTTGATGAGGCGTTGGATTTTGGTTGAAATTCGGTATGCATGTGAATAGTGATGGTTATAAGACAGTAGATGAATGTTGTAAGACATAGGTTGTGGTCCAGAAACTCACGTGAGATTCGATATTATTTCCACAGAACGATCAGAATACGAGCATACCGGCAGAGGAAAGATTTTACTGCACAATTGAATATGCATGTTGTTGTCAATGTTGTCGTTGTCGTTGTCGTTGTCGTTATGCTGATGTGTGATTGCTGTGGAGAAACCTTGCATAGCGATTCATGGATGTCATAGAGTTAGGTGGTGAGGTGAGGGAAGGAAACAATGCGAATAATCTAGATGTTTCCAACAACAAACCAATAATAATTCATAATTTTACTACAACTCAAAATTTCACAAATTCACGGGACAACAGATTAATAAACTTTCTTCTTCTTGATACAATAAAAAGCAACTTCTTCATCAATATACGATTTTCAAGTAACTGATCAAGACTCGCCGACGTCTGATCCAAATTTCTAATTTAGGTTTACCTGGGTAGTTTCAGATTCGGCAGCATGAGTGAGCTTAACGGTGGCTGTTCTTGTGGTCGTAACAAATACACCATTCAAATCCCACAAAACTCAGCAGATGGCGCGCAAGTCTTCTTTGATAGCAGTAATGTTCATCGTATGTAAATTGGAGATGTTCCCTTTCTTACATTACCAAAAAGGCGATTGCTAATATCAGACAACCAGGACGATCACAAGCTGCTCCCCTCTCAGCATGGCTTCGTGTGCCATTAGCTTGGTATCACTCAACGACGTACGCTTTCTTCGATGATGAATCACACAACATAATTCGACGATCCTATACTCCTCCATTCGAGCAACATGCGAAACGACATTTCTGTGGCTTTTGTGGAACACCTCTGTCCTTTTGGACGGAAGAACCGGCAGACCATGCAGATTATATTTCGTTAACTTTAGGATCATTAGCTTCTTCGGATCTGCGAGATCTCGAAGAATTAGGTTTACTTCCTAAGGAAGCACTCGAGGATGCACAGAATGACAAACAAGCTATCGAGACTATCATACCACACGCTGAGAACAATGGCAGAGGAGAGCAAGGTCTACCATGGTTTGAGACATTGGTCGAAGGGAGCCGACTGGGTAAAATGAAAACAAGTCGAGGCAGAAGAACTGCCGACGATGGTCGGATCAAAGTAGAATGGGAGATTGTAGAGTGGACTGGTGAAGATGACGATATGCAGATACCTATAACTGGGAAGAGAAAGTTGGATGCTACGAGTCCAAGTGAAGGTTCTCGCCTGGAGGGGCTACAATAGATGGGATAACATCTGCGAATTCATACCCCTGGAGTGGGATAGTAGATCACGATCGTACAATTTTGCGTTTGGTTAGTATCGTGGATTATAGTCAAGAAACGATGTCGTTTATGGAGATTTGGGTTTGGGATGGATACAAAACGAGAGAGCTTTGCAAGTTCACAACAAGGTTGCCGATCCTTACAACAATCTCGGAAGGATTATCTTCTCATGTCAAACGGGAGTTCGGGGATTTGTTAACAAATGAGATAATCAGCTGTGTCAACACTGTACATGTAAGATTAATTACCCTACCAAGAAATGCAAATAGCTCTTTGCAATCAGTTTATGATGTTTTTATCACATCTATCCGCTTGACATCCGAGATTCATCTCTGTATGAATACACACGAGCTAATCACAGGCACGAAAACGACACCAAATCCCGTGAACTGGATCAATTGAATTCAGCCGGACTTTCGTCCCGTCTAACCGGTTCAAACATTTACTACCCCGCCATTATCTGGTGGGGCGGAAGATATCATAGTCACTCAATTAGGAAATGATTATATCACGGTCTGTACGGTCCGAGGGGTGGGATACGAGTTAGTTCCGTTTGATCGTTATGACACAATACTAATTCACAATTAGCCGCTCTATTTCTACTTATATGCGAGTAGATCCCCTTCTTACATCGACTAATTCTATATTTTGATATTATAAGTACTTAGTATCCTTTGAATTTACCAGAATAATATCAAATTTCAAAAGAGAGCAACATGGGTAGAGCAGTTCTACCAAAGGATTTCACATGGGGCTTCGCTACTGCGAGGTATGTTGTCTCTAATCAACAGCCATATCTCCTACTAACACAACACTAGTTACCAAATTGAAGGAGCACCCGAAGAAGATGGTCGTGGCCCTTCCATCTGGGACACCTTTTGCAAAATCCCCGGCAAAATTGCCGATGGTAGTTCCGGAGACGTGGCATGTGACTCCTACCATCGAGTTCCCGAAGACATTGCGCTTCTCAAACTTACCGGCGCAAAAGCCTATCGGTTCTCTATTTCCTGGTCTCGTATCATTCCCCTAGGTGGTCGCAATGATCCGGTAAATGAGAAGGGTATCGCTTACTACACCAAGTTGGTGGATGATTTGCTCAAAGAAGGAATTACCCCTTTTGTAACACTGTTCCATTGGGATTTACCGGATAATTTGGAGAAGAGATACGGGGGATTGTTGAACAAAGAAGAGTTTGTTAAGGATTATGCTCATTATGCGAGAGTGCTGTTTGAGGCAATTCCACAAGTCAAGAATTGGATCACGTTTAATGAACCGTGGTGTTCTTCAATCTTGGGATACAGCACGGGATTGTTTGCTCCCGGACACACGAGTGATAGATCAAAGAGTGATGTGGGAGATAGTAGCAGAGAGCCATGGACAGTAGGACACAATCTTCTCATCGCTCACGGTGCAGCCGTTAAGATTTACCGCGAAGAATTCAAAGCTAAAGATGGTGGACAAATCGGAATTACTCTCAATGGTACATACATCTCCACATCTAATCTACCCCACTCCCATCCAATGCCATACTAACTCCCGCCCAGGTGATGGCGTCTACCCCTGGGATACTTCCGACCCCAAAGACGTCGAAGCCGCCGAACGCAAACTCGAATTCAGCATTTCCTGGTTCGCAGACCCCATCTACCACGGCAAATATCCCGATTCCATGCGCGCCCAACTCGGAGACCGTCTCCCTACTTTCACCGACGACGAAATCGCGTTGGTGAAAGGCTCGAATGATTTCTACGGAATGAACCACTACACTGCTAATTACATTAGACATAAGGCTACGGAGCCAGATGAAAATGATTACTTGGGCAATTTGGAAATGCTGTTTGAGAATAAACAGGGAGATAACATTGGTCCTGAGACCCAAAGTGTTTGGTTGAGACCTAATCCCCAGGGTTTCCATGATTTGATCTTGTGGATTTCAAAGAGATATGGGTTCCCTACTAGTAAGTCTCCTTTTTTTTCCCCTTTGACTCCTGTACCCCTCCTTTCCCTCCCTTTTCCCACAACTAATCCATCCCCACCTCAGTCTACATAACCGAAAACGGCACCTCCCTCCTCCGCGAAAACGACATCCCCTACCCTGACATCCTCAAAGACACTTTCCGCGCCGACTACTTTCGCGACTACATCCGCGCCATGGCATCCGCTGTTGAAAAGGGCGCCGATGTGCGCGGTTACCTGGGATGGAGTTTGATGGATAATTTTGAGTGGGCCGAGGGCTACGAGACGAGATTTGGTGTTACGTATGTGGATTATGAGGGGGGTCAGAGACGAGAACCTAAGGAGAGTGCGTTGGTTTTAAAACCGCTCTTTGAGGAGTTGATTAAGAAGGAGTAAGGGGAGATAGGGGTTTGAGAGGATTGGATGGGTAGGGAAATGGATTTTTTGGATTTAATTAGTGGGTGGTTTACGTGGTACTCAAAGTAAATGGATGGCATAGACAATGTGGTTACCTCAGAGTCAACTATGGATTGTGGAATTTTAGCAAAACAGTCTTCATTGTTTCTTTATTTCGTTGATTTAAATTTAAAAGTCATAGTGATCAAATCTATCCCATAGACCTATGACCGAAGGACCTTTCCTTCTATAGTTTGCATGATAATGCAAGTTGGGTATAAAAACCAAGCAAACTCCACCCAGCCAATCATTTATCGTGAATATAACAAGCAGATCGTACCTCCAGTCCTTGATCTAATCATTTAAACGCCCAATCGACCTCAACCCAGACCATTATACTTCGCCAAGAATTTCTATCTCCTCTCCGCCACCTTGCATAGAAGCTTTGTTAGACTTCTTAGACTTGGCTGGCTTTTTCTTTCCCATTCCAACCAAAGCAGCACCAGCA